CTAACACTGCAACTGCCCCCTGATGCTAGCTAGAACAACCACCTCCCACAATGTCGCCCACTGCTCTCCTGATAGGAACATTCTGTTAGGCAACAATATAGTAAAGGGTTGCTGGAAATCTCCAACCTGTCAACGCTTGTTCACCTTCACCACAGAACCATCAATCTACAGGCTTTTCCATGCATGATAATGTGCCTCTGGTAGTTATGGTCAGTGGTTTGCACCAATAGGGGTGTCCAGCTCGATAATAGGTGATGAGAGGACATAGTTTGTTCTTTTTGTATTAACAGGCGTAAAATGTATTTAGCATTGGAAGGCAAACTTCATGTAAAACCGGAGACCTAAAAATAAGGGAGAAAAAATTAGCCTGTGCCAGTGATAAGCTACAGGAGAACATTAAGAGAATCAAGCATACAGAGAAAATAACGGAGGGATGCAGAATCTCCCAGAAACACAGAGAGAAAGGGAAAAGGAAGAGCCTATCTGAATGTGCAGAGGCATCAATACAGGAACCCTATTGTTCCTAATAAAGTATGACAGCCCAGTATAAACTGGAATATGAAGTGAACCATGATTACAGAGGATTAGATAACAACCACAATGCAGCAGCTAGAACACTTTTTCTGGCCTGGCCTTGTTTCATGTCTCTCTTTCTTGGTGTACTGTACAAATCCTCTATGTGCTGTGTGTCTGTTCATGCATAAAAACTGTATGTGTGTTTTGTGTGTGAAGGGAAGGGAGAGAGCGAAAGATTGAAGGGTCATATGTGAATAACTCTTTTACTGTTATATGACGTGAGGGCAGCACACCATACAAACGACACCAGTCAGGTCAGCTCCACCTTCACTGTTCCATGTCCTGTGATACGCAAACGGGCCTGACAGTAGGTGCTTCATCACACGGTGGCAGCTTGACACAGGAGCTTTTTCTCCTGATTTATCTCCTCTGTTGGGCTCTTGCTACGAAACATGCTGCATGTACAGAGTGGTCAGACCTTAATACTACAAGGCTATGTGTATTTAAACACTAAGCCATGTATGTGTGAGGGGAAAGCAGCCTAATCCTGAAATATAAAACATCTGAAAAAAGTAAAAGAAATGGAAAACTATTCAGATTTCTTTTTGTATCAATTTCTTCAATTAAATATATTAAACGAGTACCATTTTAAAAGACACGTAGGGATATAAAATTTAAAAGCAACTCTGCCTTAAAAATCTTTGCATATTTTTCATTTACACTCACTATTTCTTTGGAGAGCGCAAACTAGAAAACTTGTGCTGACAACAACACATTCTCAAAGTACTACAGGAAATAACTTCCACCCTTCACCCAATGAACCGGCGCCATGTTGATGAAACACTTTAAGCGTGCTTGTGACATTTTCGCTTTCAGGAGCACACCAGTTGTGCCTAACATCACCACAGACACACGCCTCAACATTTTTAATGCAAGGCATTCTTTGAGAGACTCCTTCGCTTTCTCAGAACGCAAATGAGCCGGTTAATGCAGAGGGAATAGAGGGGTGTGGAGGGGGCAGTGGGGCATCCCACCTTCCTAGGTGGAGTCAACAGAGCAGCCAATAGCTTCCTCTCTAGAGCATATTTTCATTTTGATGGCTGTGGATTGCCAGTGCCGCTGTCTTGCCTCCTCTTAACCTCACTTCATCATTCCACTCGTCCATAACATTAGGTTCATTTCCTCCGCCGTATTTCCCTAAAAGTGAGTGTAGCTCTCGGTCACTCCACAAGATGCACTCCAGCTTTTCCCCATTTGCATTTTGAAAGCAAAGAAATGGACCCAACGATACTGGCACACCGTTATGACTCAACAAAGTCAACTCAGTTTGGTGATGCGAAAGCTCTGAGGTAAGAAAGCTGCCCGCCGTGGCCGGAGACTGTCGTAAAACATGATGATGGTGCACCAGAGGGGTGTTTGTGAATGTCAATTAAGGTGGGCCGCTGTCTGTTTGAGAGGTGGATCGATACAGTAATGAGGAGACAGAGACACGGGCGTAATCACCAAAAGCCCAGAGCTGCTGAAATCCACAGAACGAAATAGAACAAGGTACCGAGGGGCACCAAGTCACATTCACAAGTTGCACCTGTAACACCTCACTGAATCTACTGACGTGGCATTGAAATAAATACATTTGAAAACCACTGCATTAATTAGGAGAAAACACTTGATATTTCTTGAGACGTTTAGGGACATTCACATGAAACAATCAAATGTAGTACAAGTACTGGTAGAAGTGATGAATGGGGGACATTACTGGAGTGTTTAAATTATGGTTGAATTTTAACCTAAACAGCACTGAAGCTTGAGCCTGGTGGATTTAAATGGAATTTCATTAAATCTAAAAGAAAGAATGATTACTTTTATAACTCCCACTGGCAGCATTTTTGCAGGCAGATATTTTGCACTAATGACTTGAATATGAAAAATTGGCCCCATCCCACTAAGCACTCTTGGAGTAAATTGAGCTCACTGGTAAAATAACCTTCACCATAGAGTCTGCTAAATCTGTTGTTAAAGCCTTGAACAGCGGGGTTTTTTACCGTTTTTTACAGCCACCAAGAGGACAAATAGGACACATTTAGTCTCTTTCTCTCAGACCTGAGTTCATTTATACACAACAGTGGTCTCAATTTGTGATTACTCAGCAACAGCAATGCTGTGACCCAGTTATGAAAAACTCTTTAAGAACCAGCTTACAGGTATGTTACAGGTCGAGCTACAAGGGAATGCTGCATTCATAATTCATCACAGTATAGAAAAGAGTTACCCAACAAAACAGATTTCATCAGAACACAGTCACTAAAAAAAAGACGGACACATCTATGCAGTAGGTATAGAAATAGAAATCAGTGCTACCACAGACTGGAATGGGATTAAGTAATAAGGCACTGGTTTTAATCCTAACACAGTGTGAGTCCCGCAGTGTCTACTGTTGATGGTACGTCTGTGAAAACCATCTGTTTCTGGCTCCGACTGGCTAACTGAAGGGACCCAATGGAGTGAGTCCTGATTTGGTGTCAAATGGAGTCCCTGGATAAGGTAGTGTGTGTGGATCTTGCGTGTATGTGTATCTGTTGGATCATGTTCCACAACTTATGGTGTTTATTTGCATCCTAGTGAGAGCTCAGACTAAAGGCCAGGTTTGACTCAGTTGCAGGTCTCACGTAGTGGAAAAAAAAGTGTTTAAGTTGCAGTTAATCACAACGAGCGCAGTGAGAGCACCATAAATCCATATGGGAAACCAGCATTTCACACAGTTCCGTTTAAATGGATAATATATAAACAGTGAATGCTAATTTGTAAGCATAACATAGTGTTTAGATTAGTGCTAACTGCTCCAGTAATTTATCTACTAAAGTTATGCCTTAAACTGATTTGCATTTTCACATTAAAACAACTTTGAGGTCTTCAGTACCAACAGCACCAAACCTTACATTAAACAGTCTGCATCCAAATAAAACCCTCAACTTGAGGCTCAGTGAAATAGCAACATACAAAGTAAAAAAATACAATTATCATAAGAATCAATGCACTTCTAAAACTAGACCAGTCTGTAACCACTTGTGGGTTTTAAAGTCTCAGAAATTGAGCAAAGAAAAACTTGGATGTGTGCTGAGCAACAACCCTAGAGTCTGCTTCTGGACAGCTGCTTCTGACATTGTAAAGTAACTGAATTCGGTGGCATATATTGTCAAAAAGCTTTACAAGATATTAAATGTGTTTCAGGATCGGCTTCAGGCTCGTTTACTCGAAGTGTCACTTTGAATAAAGGCTCTTACTGAGTAGCCGGTACGCGGGAGAGGCAGGGTAGAAATTTAACCTGGAATGATTAATTGATTTTGGTGAAATTATTAATGCTTGACACCCAGAGGATGACTGTTAATGATAAATAGACATCACACTGAGCAGTGGGGACAGCAAGTCAAGGACTTGGAGTGGGGTGGGAGCATGGGGTAGGAACTTAATACATGATCAATGTGTGCTGTGTCTACACATTGTGTGTACTGTGCAGCATTCATGCACGCGTAAGAGTATGCGCATGAAAGCAAGTGTGCATCTTTGTTGGCATGGGTCCTGTTCAGTATGAAAAATGAATGTAAAAGTAACTTGCGACAACTCAGCAGGCTCTTGCCAGATAATGAGTGTTATCGTTACGATGGGAATAATGGTTGTGATGACACACATTTGTGAAGATGCAGATACAGCACCGGTTACACACACAACTGCTCAAGCGTGTTGGACTTGAAGTCAAAAATTTTGCACAAGCCGTACGGTAAGCTGACTACCTCACATCTTTTCCATGATCCTTGGTCTCTTTACAGCTGACTAGTTCAATCAATAAAACTCATCCACCCATTGACCCCTTCCAGCTACTGTCTTTATTTTCTGCAAAGAGCATCAGAAGTTGTGCACTGCTGTCTCTTAAAGTTTCTCCTGAGATCCATCACTGCTGACTATGGAAACTTAGCTTTATGCCATTCAGGCCATCCTTTGACTTGTTATCAGGGCAAAAGAAAAGGTGGATACGTCCAATACAGAGCTGTATGTTTAGATGAGCTGGGATGAATAGAATGCCATTTTGTTACCCTAAAGTTTTATGTTTAATTTGATGGAATCACTTTAAGACACTGATGAAACGTTTTAAATAATAATGCTTTAAGACAAATTTGAAAACAGAAGGACCCACCCTGGCACTGACCATCTTAATCAGGTCCTCAAAGCTAGAGCAGCAAGGATAAGCCATTCATTTTCAAATTTTGGTTGACTAAATATGCATTGGTTTGTAATGATTTTCATATGTGTACATACATTTTTCATTGTTACACACCTACTACCAAACTGCTCATATAAAGATGTTTCCAAACATTTCTCAGAACGTATTTCAATATGTAATTTCTGTTTTAAACCAACATATATTCATGTATCTCGTATACTGCCACAGGGAGAAACCATGATAAAAACAAATGAGAAAGCTCACTCACCCCTCCCTATTTTCATCTTCATCTGCATTGGAGAGCAGCTGCGAGCCGGCCAATGAGAGGTCCAGAGCTGCAAGGGGCAGGTCTCTGTAGCCAAAGCTCACCAGTTGGACTGGAGGGGCCAAGTACTGGTTTTCATCCTCTACTGGCTGTGAGATGATCTCCAAGTCTGACAGACCTGCCTGCTCCGCTCCCCTAAACACAAGCAGCAGACAGACGCACAGCACAGACGCACAAGAGATGGAAAGACATGCTTAGGTTACTTAATAATAACATTGCCAATAAATGCACTGAAACAGATCAGATCAGTAATTTGAATTCAGAACTGACAGACTGGAAATGGAAATACCACATGGTCTAGACTTGCTTTAAGATTTAGATTACATTTTCACCATTTTGTGGCAGTACGGTAAATACACTGACAGCAAATGGTTGGGTGTATGAGGGTGCAATAAGAGTGTCAGAAAGGTTTGCAAACAAACACCCACTCGGTACACAAGAACTGCAACCACTCCCACAGATGGAGGAACTCGTGTGCATTTGCACAATGTCTTGAAATTTGGCCCGTATTACTCTTAACACTACCAGTATAGTTTATATCTTATGTTCATATACACTTTGAGTGATTATATTTTTCTCCTTTATTCAGAAATTATTCATTTAAAAAAAAGGTCAACTGGAGGAGATCAAAGCATTTTTTTAGATAAACATTACATACTAGGACATTGTTGTTTAAAATTTACAAAAGAACCAATAATTTTCTGACCTTTGGATTAATCCTGTTTAGATTTGACTGTCTCATTGATATTTCCCACTGATTAGGTCTGCAACAAGAGCTTTCATATATCTGACAGAATACACCCACCTTCCCTTGCCATCATATAAGCAAACCCACACCCTTCTCCACCTAAAGGCTTAAAGCAGAATGTCTAAACACATCAAGGCCGTTCGGTTGTAGGCCAGCAGCATGTAGCCCAGCGTGCCCACAAGCCCCAGTTGTGTAAAAGCTGGGCCATCTCAGCAGAGCGTGGAGGTGGAAACAAATGCTGAGTGCAGCTGCAGACTAACTGTGAGTGTGAGTGTGTGTGCCCTATAGTGCATATTTTTAGACCGGAGCAGAAGCTGGTGTATCGTGTCTGCTGTGACGTCATTGCCTCTCCCTTTGTCAGCTGAGCGGATCCCCACTCTCCTTCAAACGTCAAAGAAAGTCAGGAAGAGGGAGGATTGGGAGGGTAGTGGGAGGAAAAGGGGAGGGTATCAGGTTACACAAGAGTGACTGGCGACGGCTGAAATGAGAAAGAGGAACAGGTAAAAGCAAAAAGGGTGGAAAGAAGAGCACAAAGACGGAAGAACTGGATCTAAACAGGGGATAATACGTATGAACTTGAGAGAAAAGTTTAATAGAAATACAGATAAAAATATGGTGGCTATACAAGAGTAAGGGAAGAGGAAGGGGGAGAGAGAGTTAACCACTGCCAGGCAACATATGGGAGAGGAAAGGGTTGCAATAAAAGAATAGAAAGAAATTGAAGTAGTGAAAAGTCATCTTCAGACCACAAAGACTGACCATAGACACAGGGCAAAAAACTCATGCTGTCTCACATGACACCTCCAAATCCCACAGAACAACCTTTGTTGGCTGATATAAACAGCAGTAATATAAATGCTAAAAGAGCTTTAATGCAATCTAGACTAGCCTGAACTGTTAGAGGGCATCCTGATTGTTGTGAATAGGCCCAATGTTTGCAGAATAGTCGTCTCTTATCAGAATCAGAATCAAGTCAACACGGCCACCAAGGCCACTATGACTCATTGCGGCCGCAACACTGGGCAGTGAGTAACAAACTATTAAACTCTGTACAAATAAAACATCACATTTTCCCACATCTATGTTGGAAACCTAACAGCCCCTTGCTGAACCAAAAGATTACATTTAAGATGTCAGCGATCACAAAAGAGCCATGCAAAATTTCATAAAGATATTTGACAATGACAAAAATAAACCTCTGTAAGCCTGGACCAAATGTCCAGTTAGTAGAATGGCCTGGGAATATAAAACCAACTCCAAAGAGCAGATGAGATATGTGTGAATCAACGTCCCACACATATCCACTAAATGAGTAGCAGCTGTTGTAAACAGATTTCTCAAAAACACAACTTTGGGTTAAGATCCATGAGTGCTAAAGGCCTTAAATGTGCAAAATGATCCTCCTGTGGGATTTCACAAAAGCTTGTCAAATATTTCTGCATTTTATCTGACATGAAACAGAAATCTTTTGTCAGAACTTTGTGTAAAGACATAACAGGCTGCATGATCAAACCAGCAAAAGCTCTCAAAAGCATCAGGTAGAAAAAAATTAAAAAGTGATCCACTGTTTCAGTGGCACTTTGACATGACCACTAAGTTAGAAGGTGGTGCAATATGAACAAAACAACAGCTTCATGCAAACCAAGAAAAAGGCAGAAAGGGGGTGATTTAAACAGCTTCTCTAAATATACACTCAAAGCTGTGAACTTTGCAAAGGATTACATCCCACATTTGTTTGATTTGCACATGTTTCCATTTCTGTGTGGATCACATAAAATGGTACTGTGTTTTATTTTTCATTAAGAAAGAGTTTTTGTCTTATTGCTTTCTAGCCTCAAGAGCTAGTTCTCTCATTCCAATTTGACAGGTTTATTTCCCTCGGCAAGAGGGCCTTATATTTCTTTGAAGATATTCTATATGTACAAAACCAAAGTCACAAGGGGCTGCCATGTTGTTGACTCCTGTACAATGATGCAATATACATTATATGAAAGAGGAAAATTGATATTCTATTTTAAAGGGAGCTGTATTTTAATTTAAATTTTTGTTCAGTCAGTGATTCCTGTAGCATAAATATCCATATTAATTAAACAACGAAAGAAACAGAAGGTAAACGTCATGAGATCATGAAATAAGAAAAGCTGTATGTGTAAACTAAGGCCCATAAAATATAAAAACCTGATTTGGTGATGTCTGGAATCTAAAAATAGTATAAGCCACCAAGGTCTTGTCCACCCCCCTCAGACAATGCTCTCTGATGAAGAGATGACATCAGTTTTGCAGGGCAACATCAGTATGTTTGATATACTTCAGCAAAAAGTGTCTCGCAAAAAAAAAAATCCACTCTGTAGCAGAATGCACCGTGGTACTATGTCAGTACGGACGAGTAAATCGTTGAACTGTGGAGGTCCTCTGTGCCTCCATGACAAACGTTCATGGAAAAAGAAATGATCTTTACTCTGTGGATTCTCAGTGTTATGCCACGGTGTGTAGGCCTGATAGATACTGTTTTCTGAACACTTCTCAGACAAGCAACATCTCATCCACACCACCTCTCATCCACAGCGCAGCAGCAGGTTTGGCTCTCCTCCCAAACAATCAGGACCGTACACATAACTACTCATGACAGACGCAAGCTGTCCAGAGCCCGCCAGCCCACAGCTTGTAGTGATGGGCCTGGTGCTGGGCCTGCCTGACAGTCTGGAACTCAAGAAAAGGTGCTGAGCGAGGCAAGGATTTCTAGAATGTTCAGCGGTTTTCCTGTGGACAGTGATGACATTAAAGCTGTCTTTTGTAACCTGTCATTCATTCCGTTTTACTCATAGAGACACAAAAGCGGCCTCAAGGAAGGGATATATTGCTGTGTGTATATTTATCAGCATGATTATGATAATGTTCCATCAAAGTGAAACAAAGACGGAATGACAGAGGAGTGAAAATGACAGCCATTTACAGCTAAAATAAAACATCACATCCAAAGGGCATACATTCAAATACAAGCAAACATTAAAAATATCGATTAAACTTCAATATCACTATAGTGAATTAGTCCATCATTGGCTTTATTGTACATTCACATCTTCACAGTGTTGATTAACTCACTTCCCCTTCCTGTCCATGTAAAGCTTGGATACATTAAACTGTCTTGTATACACATACTGACCTTTCTGGTTGTTCTTATCTAACAAAAAGAGGCAATTGAAAAATTCTGAAAACATCATTTCACAGAAAGACAAACAAGACTGCAACTTGGGGAGAGCAGCCACGGGGTAGAGGTGATATTCAGGGGAGCAGGTCTCCCTGAGGGTGGCAGATAAAATTAAATAGTGGACTGTAGTGTTGTGGGCCAGGTAGGAAAGGTCATTATGTGACAAAAGTTGCTCAAAGGACTTCGCTGACCAAAACAGAAGGTCATGTAAGCAACTGGGGGCCAGTGGGGCTGAAGAATGTTCTTTCTCCAACGAGTGACAGTGGCTTGTTCATGAGCCACCAGCCATGTTGGGACAAAGAAAAAGAAACATTTGGCTCTGTTTGCAAAAATCTACACTTCTTCATACACTTTCCAGGTGTGTGAAAAGCCATCAGTGTGAGCCATTACAGTAAAAATGAAATACAGCTAATGATTTCGGTAGCATGGTAGCATTCTGTTTATTTTTAGAAGCGCAACTTTTTATTACTTGCATGGGAAAAAATAACATCTACGACATTGTAAAAGCATCAAAACTGCTGCATAAATTAAACAATGCATTAAACAGCATCAGCTATGGCCTTTTCCGGTAGAGTGAAGAAAATGTCACTGGAAGCAGGCACATTTCTTCCAGATCCAAACACCACTCAGCAAAAGGCCTTAGCTGACGACGCACACATGTAAGATGAGGCTTTTATGGTGCAACAGAGGATCTAAAACCCATCTCAAACTTGGCCTGAATACTAAAGCCAAAGCAGATGTTCGCTGCCTCCACCAGCTGCCCAGGAGAACTTTGCAGAACCTGGACATCACAGTGAGTTAACATTACAGACTCATTAACTCACACCGGTCTGGAAAAACCCACGCTCAAGTCCCACAACTTTGTTTTATCCTGGAAAAGGATGTAATATTTGATCCCACTCGATGGTGAAATAAGATCTATGAGCGCATTCATTCTACACAGAAGAGAAGAATTTCTGTCTTGCATCTCGAGCAGAAGAAATGTCTCTCCCTTTCCTCTAAGAAAGTGAGTTTAAGTCTAACTTTGAACCATCTTTGTAGCTGACTCATGTCAAGTGCGATATGGACTTGAAAACTTGGTGTTTAACATAATTAATGTTGTGGCACCTGTCACAGTATAAGAACAGCCCCAGGTAATTTCCTGGAAAAGCCAATTCAGCTTCAGAGAAAGTTGCATTATTTCTAGCCAATGGATATTAATGAAGTCTGCCAAGCAATTTAGCTCATTAATAAAATTACAGATTAACCTATAATGAATTGGCATCCAGCACAATGGACTGTTCTGGCCCGGGTGTGACCACTCTCTTATCTGACCTTTACAGATTGAAGCAGCAGAAAACACAGGAGACGCGCAGACCCTTGTGGGGCAGGACGGAGACAGAAGATGTCTTCCTCAGAATGGAAAGGTCTGTGAACCTTTTTACACCGCTTTAGTATCAATTAATACATTCTGAAAGAATTTTGAAAGAAACATGAGGGAAATGAGCCCTCAAAGACTTAATGACGAAGAAGACAGTCTTCTATAATATTTTATTACTGCTGTATGTTGTTTTGTTTTTTTACTTCGGCTTAATGTTTAAAATGTGTTCATTTTTGAACGGGGCAACTATAAGAGACAGGAAAAGCTTATATACATTAATCTGTTTGATTTTCATGTAGCATCAGAATTCCTGTCATGGACAATGTTTTAGCTTGCCAGCTCAAATTGATCTAATTAGTATTAATTATCCTTCAGAATACACCAAAAGAAATTAAGGCAATTGCATTTTATGCAATCATGATAGCTCTAATATCATAATAACACCTTATTGTAGCATGTGCAGTAAAGAAAAGTATGTCTGATACTCTGATACCACATTTGGAAGATTCTTATAGGAACACTGAACTGGAAGACTTATTAATGCAACACGAAAAAGAAATCGTGTCTTCTGATTAGATAAAACCCTCATGGCGTCAGAATATTGGGCAGCTCAAAGCAACAGACCCCTCCCTGAAGGCAGAAGCTCTCCAAACTGTCCAAACGCTCAATGGTGCTGCGCAAAAAATAAATAAATAAACAGTAATCAGCAACACGGAGAGCGAGATGAATAGTGACATCCAGCTCCCAGGAAGAGTCAAACAGTTCACAGCATGCTTCATCTCCGTGAAGTTAGACTCATCGGCTTCAGCGCCAGTACTTTTCTCTCCGAGGCTCAAGTCAGGTTTCACATGCTGTTATAGGTTGTGGATTCAAATCAAGCAAGAGGATCGATGAGGCTAATTAGATTAAGCTGCAGTCCTGTACCATTTGATTTTTATTCACGTCCTGTAACATTTCAAATACTTACGCTTTTCCAAACACGTCCATCCAACAGATACAATGACTGGTCACTTTTCCAATCTCTGCTCACAAACATTTACAAAATCAAAGCAATCTAAACGGAGCTCAAAGCAGAGGTTACCAAAAGCTTCCCCGTGAAAACAGCCTTTCTTTTCCAGAAATCATCTCACAAACTCACAAACTTTTGTGCAATCCGTATAATAGTTGCCATGAAACTACCAGAAGGAAACAACAGAACGACAAACCAAGTGAACTACTGCTTGCAATCATTTAACCTCATAAAAAAGTGTTTCCTTTATTTAAATACTTTTTGCTGACATTCTGGTCCTGGCAGATGTACTTTCCTTTTTACTGAGCTTTCTATTTTTATTATCCATTTTATTATTTTTTATGTAATCAAGTAAAATAAGAGGTAAATAAGCGCTTTAATTCTTCATTTAATTTTTTATATTAGGATGGTATGATAAAAAATCAGTTGTAAAGAAGTACTACAAACTGAGTGTTACAATCATGAAAGAGTTTTTTCCAACCTTTTACATCAAAATCGAAGACATCTGTTTGACACAACGACATGGCGCTCCAAAAAAAGGAGAGCTCTGTATGGAGCAATGAGCCGAACTGGTATTCTCATAAAAGCCCAAATGGAGCAATGATTTGGGGCCATCCATCTAGGTCACGAGAATAAATGCGGCTAGTTCAAATGAGACAAATTACAGTCATAGTATGCAACATCTGACAAAGAATAATAGTTTGCAGTGTTTCCCCTTCTTCTCTCTCTCTCTCTCTCCCCCTAACACTCACACACCTACAAACAATGGATCTTTTCTCAGTAATGCATCAACTGTTTGTTCAAAGTACATTACTTTGAAGGCGAAGATTACAGGAGGCTGCTGGACAAGGAGACTGATGACAAAATGTATGACTTATTTCTAAAGGGTGCAGCCAGTATTGATACGAATAATGTTAAATATATAGTGGATGTTTGGTGTGAATAACTAACACAGGGGTCAGTGTTTCTGACCACGGACTGTGTGCTCTTCAGTCGGGCCTGTGCAGGTGTGTTTGCATGAATGTTCACCCTGGCGTGTGCACGTTCATTCAGAGTGACGGGCATCAGCCACTCATCAATGGGAGCAGTGTCTAAAAGGTCACTATCGTACAAACGGAGACACGTCAACCCGGTAAGCAAGGACAGAGTAGAGATTAAGTTACTGGTGGGAAGATGAGAGAAAATAGGTTCAGCCTGAGGGAAGACGAAAGAAATCATTTCTCCACGGACAATGTTTCCTCTACCATCTATTTCTGTATTTTTGGCACTTTTGTTGTTTCGTGTATCTTCTTTTCATAATCTAAGAAACAGCAGAAACTGTGTGTGTTCTCCACTTACTCAGCATTGGCCATGATGGCGGGTGGAGGAGAGGGGAGCGCGGCGGTGGTGGTGGTGGTGGTGGTGGTGCTCGTCACAAGGTGTCCACACACTTCTGCCTGTTTTACAGACACGCTTCACCTTCCCACCTGAGAGACGGGGCTTTCATGTTGGACCTGGGGAGAACACAGACAGTGGCCCCACGACTAATTCATTCACTCACATGATTATCTGGCGCACAATGCTCAGAGGAAAGAAGTCCTCTTTGTTGGACTCTTTAATCCTTCCAAAACAAAAAGGTAATTCACCTTTTATTTCAGTTGCATCATCACTTTAGAGGTAATTTGACATATTTTTCACAGCATATTTTCTTTTAAGCATGTGTCAACATACCTGCCTAGGGTAATAATACGGGTAAGAGTGCTAAACGTCTGGTAGCTTGGTGCAAGTTAAAGATTCTTTGATTTATGAAAAACTTTTTGTCGAATTAAATTATTGACAGAGAAGAAACAAAGAGGGAAATGCCACAGAGTCAACTTCTGATCCAAAGTCACCAAAGACCTTAAGCACACACCCAATCACTTCAAATCGAATGTGAGGACTTTTGTGATAAAGCAGGTTGCATCTCTCAAACGTTTGCACTCTGCAGAGTTGGGTGTATTTTCAGACTTCCCACGCTCCATCTATTGGTAATAATAGCTCCCCTAATGAAAATGATCGGAGTTACTTGCAGCTATGAGAGAAACGGAAGGACTGCTGTGAATTCAACAACAAATCGCCCCACTTGGAACGCAAAACATCTATGGCTTACCTGTGTGAGACTTACATTGTTGAAGGGGAGCTGTGCCTCCCGTTGCCCCCGTGCTGGGAGTAATGCCTCCCTCGGTGGGAATCAGAGTAAGAGCAGCAGCAGCAGCGGGCTCTCCGTGTGTGTGTGTGGGCTGCAGTAATCCTCAGCACTCTGGCACTGGACGAGCGACACCGCTGAAATCTGCACGCCGAATTTCAGTCCGGAACCGACGAGGAGCCGCGGCTCAAAGGCGAGACGCATCCTCACCCGAGCAGAGCATCTTAGCTCCTGAGCACCACGGCAGCGACCGAACAACGGCCCTCTTGGATGAGACCGTAAAAAAGGGGGGGAGTGGGAGTGGGTGGTGGGGGGGAGGAGGAGGGAGATGGAGAGGGAGAGGGGTGCTGATCCAGATGCAGATCCAGGTCCCGCTCCCCGGCAGAGGGGCTTCCCCCGGCGCGCGCGGTGGGGAACCCTGAGAGGGGAGCTGTCCAGGTGCTGACCGGAGCCCGGGCCGCCCGCCGGACCTTGAGCCGGACCGTGAGCCGGGGGTCCGCCTCCACACCAGCGGCTGGAACACACGCAGCGGATCTCACCCGAAGGAGACCAAAAACATGGAGGTTTTTTCGTGCCGGAGACTGGCAGCGTGTGACATTCGCAGCGCTCCGGTCACGACACAGCGCTCTGAAAACGTTGCTACCGTGGAGTGGACGTCTGGGTGTGTGTGTGTGTGTGCGTGCGTCTGTGTGTGCGCGAGTGGGCAAAAAGAGAATCTGGGAGTAAATTTCTAAGGCCAAATTGAAAGCGGGTTATCGGCACAGGTTTTAGAAGCTTCACGCCTGGCTGCGCGAGGCTCTGTGTCATGAGCGCGCTCTGCTTTTCTTTTTTTTTTTTTTTTTCCTGCATGCCCGAAATAAAGATACTAAGGGAATATAAAGTGCCTGTACAGCAATTGGCTTAACCGTTTGTCATTCATCGGGATTAGCCAGTCCATGGTTAAAACGCACATCAATCAATCTGGAGCGGGCTGTGGTGGACAGGAGCGCGGCTGGACTCTGGGTGCCGGACACACCATAGGCCGAGCCGCTGGGTCCAGATACGTGGGGATTTGAACCGACTGTCGTGGGCCTGCCTGCAGTTACAACAGAGGAATAGTGCGTGATGCCCAGTGGTTTCAGAGGCTGACCACTGGAGAGGCTGGGGGGGGGGGGGGGGGGGGGGGGGGGCATCGTGTGAAAGGATGAAAATAGGAAGAGGCACCATGCTTGACCGTAGTTTATTAGAGAGATGATTTGGCACGTGTAAAAAAGTGCAACAACCACAAAACGACCTTGCATCGATTAGCCTAAATATCTTTTCACTTAACTATGATGAGGAATGAATATATTACAGCACAAAGAGGGGATATATACTACTGGTACCAGAGTTTCTTGTCAAACTTTTAAAAAGTTCAATCTTGGAACCTTTCACAATCACCCATACTTGCAACAACTATTATTGTAGTTTAAAAAAAAAAAAGGAAAACAAAAGCTCTGCCTAATATCAGCATATTTGCGCATAATAGCAGTTATTTGACTGACAAAGTGTACGGGAGAAATTGCACCATTAAAACATTACAGTCTGCCTCTTAATCAGGCAAGAATGTAATTGAATGAAATATCAGAATAATCTGGGGGGAAGAAAAAAAAATCAGAACATGAATGGACAGCGTTAGGTAGACCGTCTAGACGCCAGAGAAAATCTGCAATTCCTCGTCATTTCGTTTTTAAGTCCCAAGCACTCCCAGCCAGACGTAGGTAGAGGTAAATGTGACCTGACATGTGGTCAGAAACGGTGCCGTGCACGGTTCTGACCAATTCTCAGCGCACACACTTTCATAATGTTAGAAGAGTGAAAGTTTTACTTTGCACTTATTAGCACAGATGTGTAAAACTTGCATAAGTTTACCCTGATTTTGAGGGGGGTGGGGGATCCCACATGCCTTTACCTTACTTGAATAAAAAGTGCGATTTCTGAAACAATAGGAACAACAATGAGAAGCAACTGTGCACACTGCACATGCCTGCAAAGCCGCCAGACCATCGGACTGTGGTCAGAGGGGAAGGTATGCTTCTAATATATGTTCAATTTGAGTAAGATTTAAACAAACATATTATACAGAATTTGTTTATTTCTGAACTGTGGACTCACTTCTTCTAATATAAACCTTTTTTGTGCAGCCTCCAAAGAGGAACATCTCTCAAATTTTTGCCACGCAATGCTAAAGGGATCGTTTTCCAGCTTTGCAAGTATAAGTGGAGTGGGCAATACTCCGTAGTAACACTCTGTACATTTTGTTTGACGCCTCCGGGTGCTGCTGCAGACTAGAGCCCCATATTTCAGTCTGTCATCCCGCCTGTTAGCTGTTGCTGCGGGACGGTCAGCCTAGATGGACCAGGGTCATGACGGTGGTGTAGGAATGCTCCAGGTTGTCCGTGTCGCTGTCGCACAGCGTGTAGTCGTCTTTGATGATGCGGTCGCAGCCGATCTCCCCGTTCCCGAAGAGGCCGAAGAGCGGCGTGTTGGGGAACACCTTGCGAAAAGCGTCGGCCTCTACGTTGGCCTGGTTGTTGTAGTAGTTCCGGCCTCTCCCCACGCAGGCGAACATCAATGCCAGCGTGTTTTTCTCTGGAATCTTGGCTGCTTTTAGCCGCCGGATGGCCGCCTCGGCCGCCTTTGCAGTGCTGACGTCTTGGTCCAGCAGCACAGATGCGCCCTGCACTTTGGGGCCGCTCAGAGCCAGGCCCACCACGCCGTATGTCCCCTGGCCACAACTACGGGGCGAGAAGTGATGGAGAGTGTAAGGGCTGGAGACTGTGCTGTGAAAACAACTCCGTTATGAAGCTGCTGTCCTTAATGTAATCTGATGACAGCTTAGCTGGCAGGGACACAAGGGGGGATAAAAGATGAAGAAATACAGACGTCACACTCTGACATGACTGCTGAGCTGCATCTGCAGACACATGCTGTTGCTGTGTATGCTTTGGCTTTCCCTGGACGTTTACAGCCAATTAGATTTGCCGCTTTTCCACCTTTTGAATAATTTAAAAGGACAACTACTGGGGGTCAGACTTGAGTAAAAGTATGTTTAAGGAAAACCTCTAAATGCATTGGGGGTATTCGCAGACGATGAACTGTCCCGTTTTTTGCTTTGTGTATTTCTACTGGACATTCTTCTCATTTTTACCCACGGCAGGACGTTAACTCACCAGTGTCTGGGAGGAGAAAAGGCACTCTCTACCAGTCCTCCAGCGATCAGAGCTTTAGTTTTGGCCAGAGGGTCTAGAATCTGTTTGAGGAACCGGGCACCTCCAGATTTATACGCCTCGTAGACAAACAACAGTACAACACGTAGGTCTGAGTTGTCAACCAGTCCTGAGAAGAGAGTACACCACATGAAGGGGAAAGACAGCGAGAGGCCGTGCAAAATTGTTGAATCTTGAAGAATCTTTTAGTTCGGGTCATTGAATGGCACTCACCGGCCTCTTTCAGAGCTTCTGGAGAGATGGTCTTCTTACAGAAGTGGAAGGGCTTGATCTGGACGCCCTCGGTGCTGGGAAACATGACGGCAAAGCCAGCCTCCCCCTCCTGGTACTCCTGGGGCGGGCTGGAGCCGGAGCCAGACGGTGTCACTGTGCAGAGAGCCGACACACAAAGAGCCATCAAATAAAATGCTTCACACAACGTGGACCCGAGCACAAAGCTTCAAATGTCTTCCAAGATCCCTTCAATTATGAGACAGGGTAACCGGCATGTTAGGTTGACTGGACAGTCCAAATTGCCCCCAGGGCTGAATGTGAGTGTGTCTGGTTGTGTGTCTCTGTGAGGCCCTGCATGGACAGGCGACCTGTCCAGGGTGGGATAGGCTCCCCAGCGACTACGTTGGGAATAAGTGGTATAGAAAATGGATGGATGGACGGTAACAAACAAACAAATTGTGGACTTTATGAACCTGGGGAAGCTGGGGAATCTCATTTCAGCTTTGATTTGGTCATTTTCTGTGAGTCACCATCTAGTGGCCGTTAGTAGAACTGCGTCCTGAGCTGTCTGCTGAGGATTCACCAGCACGAGCCGATGACCGGAGCGAGGACTGCTTTTACATCATCAGCCGCTCAATAACTTTACCAGCGAAGAAAAGATGAATTCCATTCAAAGAAAACACAACGTTCACTGTGCGAATTCATGACTGTAAATCAATGACATAATAACAGAAACTTTCACTTTTTTACCATGCAAATGAGGAAACATCAGGCTGCATTGCCATAAATAAACAGATTATCAGGCAGCCTCCTTCACCACTCCTACACTTTCATTAGATTCAGATTTTAGGGGTTTGATGGATTCCTGAGTCAAAGTGCTAATGTGCAACTAGATTTATACATTATTGAAAACAAAGAAAAAAAAAACTAATGGTTTGTTAAAAAAAAACTAATAATGTAAACCTGTTGCTGCCATTAGTCCTTGTCCATTACTGTGTGCTTAATAATGCTATTCCATTCAATACCTCTCAATCGTTGTAAGTCAGTGAGATGTTGGATCTGGAGACACACTATAAAAATATATCTTAGAAATGGGCCCTTTTGCAGTAAACCACAGCCAGTTCTGTCTCATTTTGAAGAATTGGGAAGCCAGGCTAAAAGCAAGGCCACATAGAAAAGTTTTGCCATCAAAAACAACTCAATTGTCAAAAATCTCATAACAATCTAAGTACACTCAATACACTCAGAAAATATCATGAATGACTCACTGCATTCGCTTAAACTGCCATAAAAATGGTTAAATTATGAGTTATTTCTAAATTTTATTCTGCTCTCGCCCTGTTCGGAGTGGCTGTTAGGTCCACTCAGAACTCATTCCAACGGCTGGTAAGGCACAGGCTCAGAAATTCACTCAAGCCCAGTTTAAAAAATGGCTCTTCCTAAACAAATGCACATGAATTTACTTCAAGAACTTCCTCAAAGTCAGTATTTTCCTAAGTAGTAGGTGTCTAAGCATAATCAAAGTGCAACCGAAATAACCAACAGCTTGCCTCTTTTTTAAAGAACACGAGGAGACGAGAGCTCTGCTGACCACTTAAGACCGCTCAAAAAATGTCTGACCCAAATTGTAACCATAGAATAACCAGGGTTAACTGGAGTTTTTTTTCAAAGGGGGACTGATAAATGCTGTGAGGACAATCAAGGAATAATCTGTTAGACCTGCTTGCAATCAACTTCATATGAATGTGTAACAGAATATGTAAGTGCACAAATGCCACTAAATTGAAGAGTGGGCTCGCACAGCTGGGATAAAGGTCAGCTGGCTGATCACACCTGCTGTGATAGATCAAGCTGCAAGGCACAGATTTGACGAACAGGGTGTCATTCTAAATTTAGCAAACGGGAGCGTCTGACTGTGCCATGCCCTGATTCAAAGAAACTGATCAATCATTTAACGTAGCAGACAAATGCTTTAAGACTGTACGCCTTTTTCTGTTCTGTGTTTTAAATGGAGCCGCCCCTGCTACAGATGCAACCTAACGTGGTTAAATATTCATCTTCTTCTGGGTGGTGACCCCGTGGTAACCCGTGGCTGCGATATCACAAATGTGAGTGTTAACAACAGCAGCTGGAGCAGCCATCAGACCTGACAGATGATGAGGGCCCGATCGGCCATCATCGTAAGGAAAGGGGAGCGCGGCTGATGGAGAGCCGCTTCTCTGGAGGGATGTGATTACAAGGAGAAATGGGGAGCACAGCACCAGGAGCACAAGGCTATCTATCAGTGAGGGGTGCCAGCAGCCACCGGAGGCGCTTTCTGCTGCAGCAGAGGGGATGAATGTGTAGTCGTCTCTACTGTGATGTGAACTTTTCCTCTTAAACAGGCTTAGAAAGCTCTCATTTTCAGGGCAATGTCATCCAGCGCATAAAACAGAGTAAGGCCACAGATTTGGAGTGTGGCTGATGTGAATATGTGTGGCAATAAACGGTTTTATTCACAGTGGAGAAACCCCCCCCCCCAATAAATACACAAAAAAAACAAATGAGGAATACTTACAGACGATGCCTGGTGCTGCAATGCCGATGATGTCGCAGCCTTTGGGGAACAGCAGGTTCAGTTCTTCAACAGTTTCAGGACAGTGGCGGCTTCTTTTTGCTTCAGTTCATCAGAAAAAAAAGGATGAGTCAGATCCTAATAACTAAGTTAATAGGTGTTTGAAATAAATAAATCTTAATTAGCTAAAGTCAAGTATTTTTAATAAGAAGGGACAAATATTACAATGGTGTATTGTTCTAGAAGCTAACATACAGACTTATGCTCCTGAAGCTAAAAATCCATATGGAAATCCAGTGTTTTCTGAGATGACTGATGAGAGAACATCTGTTCCAATAAAAAGAGGAGGTGGTGTTTGAAGGCACACAAGTTTGGTTTCTAAATGTGGTTAAAAACTGACTTACTATCACACTACACACACACACATATATATATATATATATATATATATATATATATATATATATATAGTAAACAGAAACATTCTCTGTATAATGTGCACAGCTGGAGTACCAACCTTTGTCCTGTCTGTAGCAATAAGCCTGTCCACTGAAGGCTTCACAGTCGACCATTGCCAGAACTGTTTTAGGCAGGAGAAATACATTCTGGAAGTAAACAGAAGCAAATCATTCATGCATGTTACTACAGATTCAAAACTGTTTGCACAGCTGGAGAAGTCTGGTCTCTGGCACCCGGTGTGTCTACCTAATGGAACATTACTAGTAGTTTGCTTTATCACTACACCATGACCAAAGTGAGTACCTCCACTTCATCCGGCAGGGTGCTGCAGAGAGGATGGACCTCTGAGGTGGAGGGTCCACAGGCTGAGACCCAGGCCAGCTGCTGCTGGGTCCGGAGCACCCTGCGGGCTGTGTTCCTCCACAGTCTGCACACACTGAGGGGCCACACACACAGTCAGGTTCACCTCCTGCCCGGAGGGATGCTTTTCCTTTACTTTTTAACAGGGTATTCATACTACCAACGTGAGAAAGAAACATAATTTCGACTGTCGTTAGTCCCGTACATTAAGTGGACTGATAGTAACAAATATTCGAATATTAATGAGCAGCTAGCTTGTCAACGTAAGCGTTCATCTAAACGAGACACAAAAAGTCCCCGAAAGCAACTCGTACTGAAGTTGTTTAGAAAAATAACCAATAAAGCAGTTGATTTTGTTGCCATTTAGCTTCCTCCTACTGCGTAAAAAACTGGTTGTGTAGAGACAGTTTCACTTCCAGTCCACGGTCCGTACCATTAGCCCACTTTAGCATGTAAACATGTCCATTACCTCGCGATCCTAAGGAGGGATTTGGTTGGCACGAACGTCAAAATTCTCTCAACGACTTCGGCAACATTGCTAAGTACGTAGGCAGCTTTGCTGTCCTCTAAAGGGTCACCAAACTCTCGATTTTCACACATACTTCCCACCAAATCGGTACGGTTCCCCGCACAGCCGCAAAGCTACAAACTTTTACCTCTACACTTCCTTCGTAGCGGTGAGGCGCAGCACTGCCCCTTGTGGTGAGGAGGAGCACCCCCACACGGCGTTACGACCACATTTAGAAAATGTGTTCATCTCTGGTGACTTGTTTATTCCCCGTATTAAAACATTTGGCCTCTTCCCATTTACCCCTTAAATAAGGGAAAGTCATACTCCGAGCTTCCTTTTGTACTGAGGACCCTGAACTTTTAAAAATCTTATACACAAGTTTGTGTATCACTGTAACATGTGTGGGGGTTGAGAGCATAAAGCTGCTGCATTAATGATGAACTGCAATAAATCAAGGGTAATGATTGCCACCAAAATGTCAAATATTCCAAGTGTCTCACAGAAAAATAATTTTACGGAAACTTTTTCCTTTATTTTATTTTTATTCATGATTCAAGATAAAATGGGGAGACAAGAAAAAAAGTTCATACAAAAGAAAAAACATCCACATTAGAAACAGTACAGAGCAAAAGTTTTTGCCTCACTTAGCTGACAAAACATTACCATTCATAACCGTGCTAGGAATTTCTTGTTGAACTGGGAGCAAAACAACAATTTAGGAATGCTTTTAACACAAACTGGAAACTGACAGAACTACAAAAGTACATATAATAAAAGTCCCTTTTATATAACCTTGGCTTAAATTATGGCTTCATTCATGATCATGTGCAGTATGTTTCCCCACAAAAAGTGCAAAAGTCCCAACATATAAATGTAAACCGTTAAAGACAAAGAGTGAGTTTAAACACCTTTGAAATGCAGCGTGTAATACAAAGCACTGTAGTTGAGCGGCAGCTCAAAGTTTTCTGCTACTTGTGTAGAGTTTGTGTCCTCGGGTTAACCAGAACAGCGGAGAAGAAAAAACACAAACCCTGCACAGCATCTGAGGCAGTTGCATGGAGGAGCCAGCCATTTTCACAGCACGTGATGCAATGTGGGGTGAGGATCAGAGCTGGGTCAAATGTTAACCATCTCCATTAGAGTCTGATCCATCATCTGCTTTATGCTCAGGCCCTCTTCTTTAGCACGTGTGAGTTTACCTGTTAATATAGCATTACAACAGTTAAAGACCATTAAACAAGCAAACAGTGCAGATATTCAAACAGACAAAGCTCTGGTCCATGACAACGGTTAAACATGCTAATGGAGTTCTACAGTATTTTAAACTTGACCATCAATTTATTTTTTCCCAATCCTACCGACAAATGCTCATTAGCCAAGTAACTGTCCTGACTAAACTGAAAACCAAACTCATTTGGAAGTGTGCTCTTTTGGTTTGAGAATGCTACACTTATGCTATTGACAGGACTGACAAGGGACAAGCAGACTCAATGTTCAGTAAAGGCTGAAACAGCCCTGTAAAACACTGTCCTTATGCCTTAGCACTAGCAAATTATAAATCGATCTCCTCTAAAAAATGTCAATTTTTGCAGAAGCTTAACCCAAACAATAGTGCATGTCAGGAGGAGGCTTTGGTTCCACTTCCATATTTAGACATGTTAGATGTAACAACGTTAACCCAAATGTACAGTATCAGGGACATCAAAGCTGATCCATTCCTTTGGATGGGCCGTCTTGTTTGCTTAGTGAACAGGCTGCTTTATTCCAACCATGCAAACAGTGCTACCTGTCATAGTATACAATCCTCTGTGGTACTTTTCCTCCTCTTGTACATCTACTAAATCATGTAGGTGTTGGATAATCAACCTTACCAAAACTTGATCAGTAGACCAAATGGAAAAACAGAAATCCTAAAAATAATCAAACATCAAGTACCAATATGCTACATGGTTAAAAAAAAGCTCAGCCCATCACATCCTCCAAAGATTCTCAGAACTTTACTGATTATTCTTGTGGAAAACTGGACAACTTCCAAGAGTGCCTTTAAGAAACACCAGCAGTCTAAATGGTAACCAAATGCATGTACGCCTAGGCCTGACAAGAACTGAGAAGAAAAGCAAAACAGACCCACGAGAACTTTTCCAGATCTGACCTCCGATTTAGGATTACCGTTTGAGAGCACGCATGATAAATATCCTCTATATGTTGAGAAAATGTGTAATTTGGTAACACAGACACTTCTGCCTATACACCAGTATGTCTGACATTAGTCCTGGACTGAGACCCCCTTCCAGTTCACGCCTCGTTAAGGGCTACTCTCAGTTCATTGGTCAGAAGACGATTTTTTTCAAGCTGCTTGTAAAGATGGTCTTGACATTCAGAAAGCAGTAAGAGAAAAAGGGAAAGAGACAAGAAGACATGTTAGTATAACAGATAAGGTGTTAGCTCTGAAAGTAATCACAAAGCAAATGTGAGTTTGTATTCAAGCTGGTGGGTGTCAGCCTGATGCTCCAGCAAGCTGAAACCCCTCGCTCAACCAACACCATTGGACTTACCTAATCATCAGTAACACAGTTATGACCCATTTTTTCCCATATATTGGTTTATTCACCCCCCTGCGCCATCTTAAAGTTGGGCAAACTCAGATCACCACACACTTGGTATGAACACCAAGTGAGATCTGAGTTTAAGGCAACATACTGGGGGCATCTGGAGACTTAAAGTACAAATTTTGTTTTAAAAATATCTAGTCTTTGTTTTTTCATGACAGAAAATGACTTGACAATTTTATTCTGCAAGTCTCATTGTGAAGGTCCTTTTTCAGCCAGCCGCATATCCAAATACTGACCGATTTAAAATGGACACTTGTTTCTCTTCTCTAGCATATCTGGTGAGATGATTGCCCCAGGAAAAGTTATGAATCTGCAGTTAAAATATATTTAGCTCCTACTCAGATAATAAAAAGGAATATAGCTGGAGCCCCTGAAAGAAAAATAGACTAAATATTCCCAGTCAGTTCAGATATGCTCCAACAACAGCACAATTAAAAGTGACTATCACAGCAACTTCCTTATGACTATGGTCACTTACCACAGTCATCATCTCCATGTCAGTCCTCCCAAACAGAAAAAGAACAGTAAATGGGAGAGGAGCTAAAGAGTTTATTCAAAAGCTACTCAACAAAATAAATTAAACACAGAAGACAAGTCAAAAAAAGAAAAAGACAAATCGAAATAAAGAACCATAGCAGGAGAAAGGGGAAGGGCTGACATCGATGGATGAATGTTTATTTTAATGAAAGCAATATGGCTCAAAAGTCTGTATGAGAGATGGAACGATGAGGCTGGCAGCAATGGCCCAGTGTGCAGAAGTGTCAGGGTGGTAAAGAAACTAACAAAAGCAGACAGAAAGTTGGGCCGCACTGCACAGGAGAGAAATGATGACGCTCAACCAGCTTCTGGAGTGAAGGGTGAAAAAGTTTAGCTGTGAAAACAGAAGAGTAGAAGTGAGGGGGGAAAAAAAACAAATGAAAAATGATGTGCGAAACAAAATGAAGGGGGGATGCGCGGGAGAACTAAGCAAAGCTGGAAAATTAACTAAAATGTAGCTGTAAGCAGTTCAGCATCAACAACACTACTGAGGTTAGAACTAACAGAAGGTTAAGTAAAGAGACCAGACCAAAACACTAAGTTTAAATAAATAAAAAAAAACTGTCAAAGGATTATTTTTAAAAGAAAATTAAAAGCATCCTTCTAGGATTAGGCTGGGTAGACGTCACTGCAGTCCTACCGCCAGCAGAGGGAGCTACTGTGACATGGTTAGGGGTGTTAGAATAAGGCACACAGCAGAATCAAGCATGTGGTGAATTACATGGAAGTCATGTCGTTGAGGGCGTGGTCCAGCTCCTCGCTGATGGCCTTGTACTTCAGTTTCTGGGCGTACAGCTCATCTATTGTATGGTAGTTATTATTGACAGGGGGCGATTTGAAAATGACAAAAGACGACAAAAGTAAGAGAATGAAAGTAAACAAAACAAATGGTATAACTGAAAAAGGAAAAGGAGGACAGAAATAGGAGGGGCAGAAGAACAGCTGCTGTGTTTGTGGCAGATTCCTGAGGAGTCACTAAGAAAAGGACTCGCATGTTCCATGACCCTGTGACAAGCACTAAGGCCCGTCTGGCCTTGAGCAGCAACCACACCGGAGTGCTAACCTGCACTGTGCTGAGAAATGCTGCTAGCATGAGTAACGCCAGATTCTGTTGACCATTGTTCCCCCCCTGACTATACAGATATTTTTTCTTAACACTGCTAAATTGTGACCAAATTAATGACTTCACTTTACGCCTGTGTCCATACGCTTTTCCCTTTAACACTTTAAATGTTGTAGAAGTCAGCAGCGGGGACGCACGGTTCTGGCCTAACAGGATTCCTTTTAGTACTGACTGCTTTGTCTTTAAAAACAAACATCTTATTCTATCTGGGAAAAACAGCAATATAAAAATGTATATAAAAATCTTTTTTTTTTAAAAACACATTTATAAATCAGATCTTTTGCAGAGACTACAGTTAGGTGTAAAAGTTTCATACCCTCCAGGTCATCAATGGTCTTCTCAAGCTTGGCGACTGATCTCTCAGCAAACTCAGCGCGGGTCTCAGCCTGACAGGAGGAACGTGGCCAGCATTAAAGCACGCAGCAAACAAGGAAACACCACAATTTCAAAGAGAAGCTTTATCAAATAAATTATTCAATCAGTTATCCAAGGTTTCTCACCTCCTTCAGCTTGTCTGTGAGAACCTTGATCTCCTCCTCGTACTTGTCCTCCTTCTGTGAGTACTGTGGTCACATACAAACGCAATAGTTAGTCAAATGTACACAAAACGACAACGTTTCACAAGCTCCCAGCATAACCTCTTACTAAAAGCCTCTGCGAAGCTAATATACCTTTTCTGCCTGGGCCTCCAGGGACTTGAGGTTGTTCTGCACGGTTTTCAGCTCCTCTTCAAGCTCGGAGCATTTGCTGTTGAGTTACAGTGTGCGTGTACAACGAAAAAATCATCTCACAGCCAACCCAGCTTATTATCAGATACATGGAGAAGGGAATCTACCTCTCAGACAGCTCAGCACGCTCCTCTGTACGTTCCAGGTCACTCTCAATGATCACCAGCTTACGGGCCACCTGAAGTCACAACACACAATAGTTTATAAACAATTAATCCTAATAATGATCATCCACTACAAAACCGATGACAGAGACACCATAGACAAGAGACAATGCTGAAAACACACTCAACAAACTCACCTCCTCATACTTGCGATCAGCCTCCTCAGCAATGTGTTTGGCCTCCTTTAGCTGGATCTCCTGCACCTCCATCTTCTCCTCATCCTTCATCGCCCTGTTCTCAATGACTTTCATGCCTCTGTGGGACGGAGAGCACAAATGAGGCTGAGTCCAAGTAATATTTTGACCATTTCAACAGAAGCATGGGAAATTCCAATCCAAGATATTTATCCAAAAAAGACTAATAGACATCCCGCACAAACTGTGATGGTCTTATAGATGTTTAGAGGGAATTGCCACCCAATAAATTTAAGACATAAATACCCCAAATACCTGCATTTGTTGTGGTCAAAATACCACAGGTGCACATGTATAATTTGTCAGGAGTTTGAGACATTGTGAGAAAATCTTTGGAAACCACTTCTCCCATGTTTACATTTGGTGAGACCATTCAACCAACTTCCATTCCCAGATGAATAACATATTAGCAGCTCTCCAAACGGCTGTTTTCATGTTCAAATCTCTAATTTTTTTATCTTTTTTTATATAAAAAACAAACCCTTTAAAGAACTGGAGATTCTGAACCAAAAAGTGAAAGTTTGTTTAAGTCCAACCATGAAAACCCTTCCTAGTCTGCAGGGAAAGTCTCAAAATGATGGAGAGTTACAACATTGTTTAAAAATGTGTAGTTCTGTGTTCTTCAAAACAACCAGAGACAGGCATCCTGAGTGGTGTGGCACTTGATCCGAGTGATCCGACCAGGTGAGAGACACCCACCTCTCACTTTCATCAGCAGCCTTCTCAGCCTCCTCCAGCTTGGTCAGAGCTGTGGCCAGACGCTCCTGGGCACGGTCCAACTCCTCCTCAACCAGCTGGATACGTCTGTTCAGGGAGGCTACATCACCCTCAGCCTACAACAGCACAAGACAAAAAGGCTTATCTGCATGGCCTAAACATTGTAGGTTTTAATTAGGGGAAGTAAGACAAAATCAACTCATCGCCATCCAGAAAGTGGGTTTGATGAATCAGCAGGGGGGCTGAATGGTGACAGTGTTAGCCCCTTTAACACAGAGGATGAGGACAGCAGTGGTTGTTTTTTCCTCTTTGAATACAACTATGTAAAGACTCTTTGATCGTACCTCCACCAAAACCACCCACTCTGCCTGACAATTATGTGTTTCTCTGCCCACCATTAATAAATTAGCTAAGAATTGGGGCTTGGAGGGGGAGAAATGGCACACCATTATACTTAAACTAGCAGGTGGCACAGAGTTTTAGCGGGTTTCCTCTCGTGCGACTACAACCCAAGCCTATTAGCAACACTGCCTCCTGCTCATTTGGGATGTTTAGGGTGGTGTCCTTTAGAAGAGCCCATCCTTTCTTCACGCCCCGCTCCATGCTAACTTTAACTCATCTCGCCGACATCCGGCCGTGTTCGGACGCAAACCGCGGACGTTGGGCCTAGCTGGCACGCTTTTTGACCAGATTTTCCGCCTAACGCCACCCGCAGTCAGACACTAATTGCCTTAAATCATTAGCAGCTTACAGACTCCCTCGCGCTCCTCTCCTGGTTCAGTTCCCGCTGTAACAACGCCGCCCGTTCCTCTGCCGCATCGGCCTGCTCCTGCAACGACTTGATTTTCTTCTTCACTGCTTCCAGGGAGCTACCACCAGCCATTTTATTTTGTTTGCTTTGTTTTGTCTCCGCCAAGCTAGTTTAGTCTCAGTTCTGTGCAGGCGTCCCTCACGCGGGCACAGGCAGTCTTGGGATGCGGCGCGTTTGATCCCTGCCCCCACTGCCTTTAATCAACCGCTGATGAGGATTGGGATGTGCCACCAACCCCGGAAGTGACTTCCCACATTTCACACTCAAATATGAAAAATATTTGACTCTGTGAAAAAACATCAGACAAATATTGCTGTATGATGCCCTTACTTAAAATTTCGTGTTGCTTTTATTGCTTTTGGATATTATGTAACAAAATGATTCACCTGCAATTTCACGTGCATCCCCCATTTTTAAATTGAGCCAGCCCTATCAAGATCACAGCTCGAAACATCACACATTGGCTCTGTCATGAGCTCCTGCTTAAACGGCACAACTCCTGCAGTATCACACTAAGTCTTTTTCTGTAAAGCAATATTAAACATCTTATTTTTCACGGTGCAAATTATAACGAGGCTCTTATTCGTTTTTGTTTTTATTGTTACTACTGTTGACCCAAGACAAAAATATCGTTGCTTTTTTGTTGATGATGAAATTAACTGATTTTTTTCTTTATTGTAATTAAATTGTGTCCTGAAACCTTTTGTAGGACGGTTCCTCCTTTATTTGTCAAACCTGTCGTGTACGGCTATTCGTGGGGATAAATCAAATCTGTCAGAATCTCATATTTCCGATGTTTACGTTGGTTTGCCATTACACTGACATTCAATTAGGCTTAATTGGCGTATTTTTAAACGCAGTCAAGAAACCTAGCAAATTCATCCTGGCTGGGCCCTACTGTAAAGGGCCAGCTGGTACCAAAGCACCCACAAATCTGTCAAGAGTTTTTTGGGTCAAAATGTTCCTGTAAAACGCCCGACTGAAATCGGACACCAGCCCTCATATTGGTCTCAGAGGCTGCGTGATGCAACGGTAGGCCACTGAGCTGAGACCTGACCATATACAGCCCAAGTGCTAAATTTAACAGCACCTACATGCTGCCCCATCCATCACATATGATGGATTTTTGGGCTAATTGAACTCAAAGAGTTAATCTATTTGGGAACTTGTATTTTTTTCCCACGGGGTGCTGGGATATAGTGGAGTAGTACAGTTGGAATATAATGGGTGTTCTTCGTGAATTTCTCCCACAGTCCAAACTCACATCTGTGGCTTTCTTCTCAGCAAGTTCCAGTTTCTCCTGGGCATCCTTCAGGGCCTCGGAGTACTTGTCCAACTCATCCTCAGTTCCCTTCAACTTCTTCTGCAGTGCTACCAGGTCATCCTCAAGCTGGTGTGCAAAGCAAATATGTATTTACGTATAAGACTAGAAAATAAATTCAGGCATGATTGATCTTTGTACTATCGAGATTTATTGAGCTACTTGATAACCCATCTTCCCGACTTTAAAGACAAACATATTAGCCTCAAAGCACAGATGTTTGGCTGGTCATAAAACATTACAGCTCAATTAGAATGAATCTACTGTATAACATATTCCCAATAGGCAAGCTTAAAAACTGTCCAGACTTACAAAGAAAAACATAATAAAGGGAAATGTTCTATTCCAAATATTATACGTAAATCTAACTTAATGTAAACACAATTATACATAATCAGAAAGAGTAGTAGGAGCCATACAAAGCAATGTGAACAGTGCAGCTGACATCTGTGCGTAAAAGCGCGTTTCACACTGGATGCCGACCTGTTTGCTTCTGTCCTCAGCTGCTTTCTTGTCTGACTCGTTCTGCTCAGCTCTGTCCAAGGCATTTTCCTTGTCGAGCTTGAGCATCTGCATCTTCTTCTTGATGGCATCCATGGCTGCTTATTGCCGGGGGGGTCTCGCCACAAACCAGAACGGAAGGATGGGAAGGACGGGAGCGTCTGAACAAAACTGAACGCCAAGCTGGAGTGCGCGCTCGCTCAGACTGTGGAGTGTCAAATATGTCTTTTGGCCGGGCAGATACTGGATACCCAATACTTTTTTGGAAACAAATGCAGCTGCTTGCCAACGCGGAACCTGTCATTTTCTGAACCTCGTCACTGATTCGCTCTTCCGCGACATTTGACCACTTGTGTAACTATACATGGAACACAGGTGTCAGAGACACTCCCTCCTCACACCGAGACGCTCACTCCTATTTCAATCACCCTCCAAGTGGAAGCAGAGTGTCAATACTTAAGAAGCCGTAGTGCTCTGAAGGGGGTTATGTGGGAAAGACGTGTTGAGAATGTTGACCCAATCATCACCCGGAAACCATAAGAACAAGTCATAAAAGACATAAAATGACCATGAACTTCAGTTACATGTTTTTTTTTATTGTGCACATTTCTACGTATTAGAGCAGCAACCAGTTAAAGGATTATGAAGGAGTTGGGTAAATTCTGAATTCAATACTCAGGCTGTGTCCTCTTCCATGGAGATATCAGCATGAAACTTTACACAATGGCATTTCATGCATCAAAACAACTCTCACAAAACAAATATAACTGATTGGATAAGCCTCTGCGAAAGTTCTTCTCCCACTGAGACCTGTCATATTAGCCAGTATGGCTTGTTTGTCTTCGTGCGATCATTTCAGCAGCTCCCTCGAAGCATAGTTCAGCTCCGGAGCAGCAATCAGAGAGGCCTGGCTCTCTGTAAGAGTCACATCATCAAGCTTGTCCAGCTCCCCTGGCGGCTTTTACGCTCCTTAGAGAAACATCTCAGATGGGCCGCAGTGGCTACAGCGGTGCGTGTAGAGGAGGACACGGGAGCTTTGCCATTTCAACAGATTGTTCACAGGGCCAGTTGCTCAGGAACAGCTGCCACACAGTCTGCGGTTGGGATCGGTGCGCAACAACATTTTCCGGTCATTTACGGTACATAATCTGTGGCCTTGCTGGTAAATCTGAACCAAAAAAGGAGTTTAGTGATACAGTTAGAGCGTTGACAGTGTGAAGGATGTGTTCTTCTCCCTACAGACTTTGTCACATCCTCCTCCTCTTACTGTGCCCTGTTGAAGTGTGTGTGTGTGTGTGTGTGTGTGTGTGTGTGTGTGTGTGTGTGTGTTTTGTTGGGGGAATATTTTCGGATGTCACCACTCGAACAGCACCTGTTGGACTCCATCCATGTTCTCATAGCCAGTCCCACTCACTGATGTCTATCAAGAAGAGCCATTGATGTTTTTAAAAGAGCAATTACCTAAATAGTTAACACTTTACTTTGACCTTATTTTCTGAACATTTGACTGTTTCCCCACCTATAAATCACTCCCAAGTCATTACAGTATGAATTCTATTTTTCTTTGTATGTTCACATGAAGAGAATCAAACAAGATAATAGAAATGCTGCCTTTTAAAGTCTCTTTTTACACTCAGACGGATCACAACTTATGTAATGTCTCTCTCCTGTATATGATCTCTTTGGTGGTCTTTCCTGTGAAGCTTTTTTTTAAGGCAGCCAGCTGTCATGGTGTTGTCATCTATCCATGTGTTTGTTGGACTGTGTGGCAGCCAAATAGACATGCCAGTCATGAGCAGAGATCAGAAAGGCCCCATGGTGCCACGCATATCAGCCTCACGCCCGCACTGATAGAGACACTGACATCATCACATCATACCTGTCCAGCTGCTAATGGTTTTCTCTGTTTTCGGAAAAAGCTTGAGTCCTGGTTTTGAAAATACTATGGAGTATAGAACTTTTCATTTTAGCGCGTTTTTCTTTCTTAATAAGAGAATAGGCACTCAATGAAAATAATATTTATGCTGCTGAAGCTGTATCACTGACAGGTGGGATAACTGGAAGAATCCTTTGTATTTTCAGAATCCCCATCATGCTGGGAACTATTTAGCCTGTAAATTCTTACAATTATAGCCTTTGGAAGTGCCACACATGCCTGCTGGTCATTGTATATCCCTTCAATGCATTCCTGAGCCTTTATTTTTTTTTGGTGCTCAAAAAACTGTAAGTCTTTGCTTTCTTACTATCTCGTTTTTTAGAGATTGTTTTTAGAGCTTTGTTAGCTTTTTAAACAAACTGAAATCTGCTGGACGAGGCGCTGCGACACACATGAAAAGAAAAGAAAGCATGCTCATCATGAGGGTGATTTCATTGCTAAAGTTGAGACTGGAATTTCTCACTTCCTCCCTGTTAATTAGGAGTATCAGGGAGGGCTGACTCACCCCTGAGTCAAAATGCCGTGGGTCAACACTATCCAGCTCGTAACCGTTTAGGTGGTCAGAAGTTATCAGGGCAGTTACTCAATATCAAATATGCATGTAGATAGTGTACAGTGGAAGCAGTGAAGAAAAAAATGGGTTAAAAATGGGAGTGAATGGAGAGGGGAACAGCAGATAGAAAAGAGTGTCTCAGTGGCACCACCAGGTTAGAACAAGTGAACCGTCCTGAGGGAAAGAAGCTGCTGGCTCTGCCTTTTAGCACGCTGCTGTCACCAGTAACAGGATCCACTTTCTGACTTTTATAATAATTAGATTAAGGACATATAAATAATGCATGAGCTGGCTTCCATCAGCCATTCGTTTGAACGTGTTTTTTTGGTTCAGTCAAGCGAGCACAGAGAGCCCTCTTGTCACAAATCACATCAACAGTTGAAAGGAAAATGTTTAACAACCTAAGAGACTGAGATCTCAGTCTTTGGCATTAAAAGCGTGGGTAGGAAATGTCTGAAAGGTAGACCTATGAGGAGCTGTTGACATCGCCTCCTGGAATTTTAGTGCCTGACAAATTTAGTACAGGTCTCAGTTCATAGCCTGGACCCCATATAGCTTGGAGTTAAGTGCTGACTCAGAAATACCGTCTTGTCCTGACACTGGAAGGGACTGTGCCAGAACAACCTACCTCTCTTGTTGTTCACTGTAGAATTTCTGTTGGTTCCTCATCCAGTCGGTACGGCTGCTCAGACATGGATGTAACAGAAAGAGGGACACATCTACTTTAGAATGAAGCTCACAATTTAAATCAGTTTTTTTTTTTAAATCACACAGCAGAAGGTAAATGTGGAATCTTCCTGTTTAAAGCAACACACATGCATTTCCTTCTAATTTAAATTTATATGTGCAATTTTATGGAAAAAATAAATAAATTGTCTCCATTAATGCGGCATAAATTCCAGTCTGATTAAGGGATGGGCAGCTGCAGAGTGATTATCCTGTGGCACGTTAATGCTGGGGACTTGACCTTGATGTCCTCAGTGGCTTTTTAGCTCAGAATGTGGCTGAAGATATTTCAGCTTATCACAGATTTGATTCAAGCTGTGATTCTAATTAAGTCAAGTGGGCAAATACTGGTGGGAATAAATGCACCCTCAAGTCTTTACTAGCCATGGACAGATTTAAACCATACAAGAGAGCAAAAACACATAAACAAAGGAAATAAATGTCATCGTTGTATAAAACCAGACACGCGCTACAAGATATGATCATTACATCAAATATCTCTTTTTACTTGTACTTTTCAATAGTTTTGGAACTGAGGACACTAATTGGTTTGATCATGCAAACAGTACAGTTTTGCAGGCTGTGTTTGTTGTCAGATTGTCATCTTCCAGCAGACTGAACTGCAGGCAGGCCAGTGGAGCACATCCACCCCGTTATGAGGCAACACTGCAGCGAGACGTGTGACAGTATGTTTTTTTTCTTTAAAACAAAGCAATTGGTGGATGCTTCTTTTTATAACCAGTCCTGACATCATCCTTTGTGTAAAGGATTTTCCATTTGTTTTCTTTGTACATTTATACCCGCTTTACCCTGTTAAGGCTGCAGGAGACTAGAACCTATCTCAGCCACCGGTTGAGAACGAGTCATGTACACATAGATACATTACCTTTGCTTTTATTGATTTTTTCCAAATACAGTGATGGTGAGCCCAAAAAAAAAAAAGAAGATTCGTAAGAAAAAAAATCCTAAGTACTTGTATTGGTAACATTTAAATACGTTTTTCGCTCCATTTTCTTTATTTAAAAAAACTTCAACACCTCTGTAAACACCGTTTATACTTGCACGTTGAAATGGATGCATCAGCTCTGATTTGCCCTCTGATGTGGTAACAGCAGAAAGCAGTGAATTTACTTTTTGAAGTCGAATTATTCCATTTGATACAAGATCCCGATATCTCAAGAGACACCAGTTAGGTTCCAACCTGTGAACTTTACATTTCTCCAGATAAATAAACTCACACAATAAAGGTGCACAGAAGGAAAGACATGACAAAGATAACGTGTACACAATGCACAACAGAAATAACCACAAGAGAGGATCTCATTACATTGAAATGCTTTAATTTCAGTGAATACAAAAAATAGTTTTGAGGCCAGATAAATATCTTTTTTTCTGTAAGTTACAACTCTTCTTTAGTGTAGCCACATCCTAATTATTCGTTTCGGTTAAGGGAGAAGGGAACATACGGAACACTTTGATTAACCCACAGAATTGAAATGCTTCACAACATTTTGATGGGACAGATAAAGAGATTTTCCTATCTTTTAAAGAATCTTAAAAGCACGAGAGAAAAGCCCATTCATAAATTTCAGACTTCATGACACAAAAAAGCAGTGCACGGATTCTCATTTCCAGTCTGTGTAGTTTAGAAGCACTGAGGTACATGCCCATGGAATGCAGTAAAAATGTGTTCATATATGTAATATACATATACAGTATACATACTGAGAGTACAATTTAAACTGCAACTATTTTTTTTGGCTGGCGGACAGTTCCCCTGTCATCCAATGAAAAGGCCTCACATGTGGCAGAAAGGATAGATAAAGGGGGTGCAGTTTTTTCAGCACTTAGAGGAACAGGGTGTTTGCAAGCGATAAACTCCCTCACGGACATGAACCTACACTTCAAAACAATAGCTTGTCCTGTACCTTCTACTGACCGATGACATGGAGCTTTCAGAGGCCGTTTGGACTACAGACTAAGGCACTAATGATAATAATAACACTACAGACTTCATTGATAAGCAGTGGGCGTGCTTCATTTTCCCTCCTCGTCGCCATGCTCACACAAAACCACCTCCAAGCTCAGCCCCAACTTTAAATAAAAAGAAAAATAAACTTAAGTGTCCGTCTTACACTAAAGGCTGTGGTATAATGTAGTTAGGTGGAGGGCTGGGTAACTCTGCGGCTGAAGCAGAAAGCCATGCATTTTCACTGCAGAACCTCACCCAAAAGTGTTCTGCAGTTTAATATTCAAACAGAGCCCACGTAGAAAGACAAGGGGAACCAAACGCATTAGATTCAAACTGTGTAAACAAAGGTCTCTGCTATGGCAGCGAGCAGCCTTTCTGTCAGCTCACACACGGCACCCAGAAATAAACTAAACTGATCGATGGCAGTCATTAACTCTGCTGTCGCTTCACTTTCATGCGCTCAGGTGATTGTTAGGAATTATAGTTTCAATATAGTCTCAAGATTTTGAATTTGAAAACTTGTTGGATTTGACTGAAACACGATATTCCCCAGCGGTGAAGACAAATGACCACTGACATTTTAATACCTCAACATATTAGCCACATGATATCTAATCAAAGATATTTTTCCATTTGTCTATATAATTTAGGATAATATAAGAACTACTAAACCTGCGTGGCCACACAAGAACGTCATCCTATTAAATTAAAATACCCCACAGATTACAACATTTTGATCCCAGTGATTACAGTGTGTGTGTGCATGGTGTAAAGGTAATCAATGCTGCCCCCTAAAGCACCATTCACATTATTGCATCGTGTTCCAACTTGTTTATAGTGTACATAGATGAGAGTATCAAAAAAGAAAGGGAAACTTTTCAGGAAAAAAAAGAAAGAAAGTTTGATGGATTGGGAAAAAGTCTAGAACCAACACTAGCTTCTGTTAGGAGGCAGCTATGATGCAAGATCGGTTCTGACCCTGAAAAAGACCCTTCCTCTGCTAAAAATACTCGGAAGTAATAAATATCCTCTATGGTAACATTTAGTTCTATGTAGAAAAGCATTCACATGGTAATGCAGCTGGTAGCTCATGAGACCTACACTGTGGAGCTTTGACAAACAGAGTTGCAGCTTTATGTTTTGCAAGTAAATTATCAGCAAAAGAAGACAGAAAAAACAAGATACTTCTAGGAAAGTCTGAATTAAATTAAATGTTCTGTTATTAATTAAAATCCACTGTATGGTCAATGAAAATACCAAAATGTGACATTCCTCCTTCATGTTAGGGTTAATGAGAACTGAAGTAAAGTCCAGACATGCCACACTGATTCACATTAAGGTGCAAACTGGAGCACAGAGGCAAACATTCACACTATCAGAGAACTGAGCTGAAATGTTTTTGCTTTCAGATTGATGGTGCAGTTACACGGCATGATGAGCGGTACAATCACTTTTTTATTGTAATTTTTTTCTTTTTTTTCTTTCTTGTTTTCACACTTGAGCTGCAAAACTATAGAAAAAAGAAAAGTGTAGCTTACGGGCAAACGACAGCATGAGCTGTGCCGTTTGTCCGTGGCTTGTCACATTCTGGTTTACATTGGCTGAAGTAGTAATGCTGTAAATGAGGACAGCAGAGGCTCCTCTGTTGGCTCGTCACAATCTTTATGTTTCAGGAAGTAGTCCGTTCCACACAGTAGTATTTGTCACTTTCTAGTCGTTGACTCTTTGCTCTTTCCACGTGTCGAGGTCAGCAGTGTTAACTGCAGAACTGGGCTTTAATGGTTTGTAGAAATCAGTCACAGAGGTCAGCATAGGCCACAAACCTGTCCAGAGGGGCCATCACAAGGACACACACACACACACACACATACACGCTTCTCCCACCAGTTAAAGCTTAAGCAGCAGAGACTAGTTGGCGTCCTCGCGAAGCTCGCTGGGCAGGAACTTGTACTGCTGCTGCCTGATCTGAGCCAGTTTCTTTCTGGCTTCTTCCAGCTCCCGCTCCTTCCTCAGCATCTCTTCCTGGGCTGCAATGATCTAGATAAAGAGAAAAAACTATTTCACACGTATTCACAATTTACACTAATGTTTATTAAGGATTTGGGCTTTAAAATTGTTTTTAATTTTCAAAATCCATTCAGTCCTACTTTGATCTTGCCCGTTCTCTTTCAACCTTACTTCAGACTCAGAGTAAGCACTCAAATGAATGAAGTTAAGAAATGTTCTATTGTGGGCTGGAATCGCACATTTTGCTGAGCAACACAATGAACACTTTAACCATGCCCAGGAAATCGACTACTAACACCACAGTTCCAGAACTTCTTTCTTTGCTTTGGAACCTCCCAACTTGCAACTGACGACACACATCAAGAATTTCACAATCAGTTATTTGAAAATAATACCTGCGCTATTCCGCCCACAAACTTGGTCTTGACCACCACGTTGTCCTCATCTGATTTGTCAAAAGCTGCCTTCTGGGCCGCCCGCACCAAATTGTCAGATGCTTTCTTCACCGCATTCCCAGCAATCTATAGAAGAACGCGATCAGTTTTAGAGCAAAGCACAGTGGTTCTAGAGGTTAGGCGATTGAAAAATCGTCAGAAAAAACACTCCTGAACGCCCTCTTTATTGCTGACATGAATTAAATCATTAGATTATCATAACAGGTGAAAAACACTGATAACTTAACAGTGTAAAATGACAGTGTACACATATTGTTTTCATCAGGACTTGTATTTCAGCTCCCATGTTAACAGATTAGAACATCCTGATCTGCTGCTCAACTGCGCTGCAGCAGCCAGAGTTCTGGGATGGTGCCAATTTTTCATCTTTGGAGATAATAGTCATGGCAATGGGTCTCAACAAACATTAATAAAAAGACTAATTGGCTAACTTATTGGCGTTGTATCAGTAGCAAAACTATTTTCAGCAGGGAGTATTCCCCATTCATCACACACAGAGTTTTACCCATCATGTTAAAGACTGCCAATGATAGTATTTCTGGACCTTAACAGGACTGTTCTCGGGTAAAGCTGGGCACCTTTTAAGCCTTTGCATGCGAGTAATTTCAGCACTGGATTTGAAGAAAGCTGTCTTTATGGCCTTTACGAGAGACAAGGTTTTGGCAAAATGATTGTCCAGCGCATGCCATGTCCTCATGTAGTTTCATAATCATCCACAAGGAAAGGAAGCGGCTGAAGGGATACCTGCAGTCTTCTCATAGCCTCGGAGTCCTGATCAGCCTTCACCTTACAGGCCACCAGCAGCTGGGCAGTGGAGGCGGCCACCTGTTTGGCTGAGGAGATGAGCTTCTCCTCACTGGCGTGGCCTTGAACTGAGGCGTTGGCGGCTTCGCACAGGTTGCTGGTTGCTGCTGCTACCATTCGTGCCTGAGAGGGAGCGGCAAAGGGAGTGAATGCGTGAAAAGACTGCAGCTTTTTCCTCTGTCCCAGAGAGGACAACCCTCAGTCTCAACACTCACTGCAGAGATGAGCCCCTGGGACCACTGTCCGTCGTCCACGGCGTTGGCCGGGATGGAGCCCACTTTGCCCTGAGCTACCAGCTCTCTCTGCGCAGCTGAGGCCGACTTCACCAACGCGCTGGTGGCGGCCGCGATCGACTTGGCAGCCTCCAGGATCTGCTCCTCAAAGTTCAGCGACTCGTCTGCTAGCTGGAGGGCGAGGGGGGAAAGGCGGTCAAAGACTTGTCAGTTGAATTGGATAATTTCTTTACAGTAAAAAGGATGGCGATAGTCATTGCTTTCGTCAAAATTAGTTCATGTCAACATAACTTTAATCTTGTGATGGAAACCATTTCCCATTTCTGGGAAACATCCTCACACTCCACGACTAAATATTTTAAAGAATTACTTTGAATACCTTCACAGAACCACACGAAACATATTTTTTTAAAGAACTCTTAAGTAGCTGTAGACAACTGCTGAGGACACAAAAGTCTGAATCAGACATCCAATCACACTCCTGTTTCAGCGCACACAAACACGTTCACACCACAAGTCTGTAGACAGAGCGGGACACTGTAGGAATATGTTTGATATATAGTTGGGACTGAATTACAACCTAATATATCAAACATATCAGACAGAGCCCTGCAGAGAAGGCCTCCGGTGGTGGGGGCAGGCAGGGAGGAGGAGGAAGAGGAGAGAGAGGGAGGGCGGGGGGGATAACTGAAAGCTAGACAGCATACAGTAGACTGGAGCAGACATTGAGCTAGATTTAGGAGAGATGAATGGATGGAAAGGGGAGGGGAAGGAAGAGGAAGAGGAGGGAACAGCAGACAGGGTGTTATTTGGAGACTGTGAATATGACTGAAGGCGATTTGTTACGGATGGGGTTACTAAAATGGGATGTGTCAGAACAGAGATGGGCTCTTAGGTAAATGTTGATGCACATAAATGTTAAATTAATAACAGACACAGCAAAAGGCTGAGGATGTTAAATGAGGCTCAAATTGAGAAACATGTAACAGACAAGTAACCAACCAATCCATCACAGTTACCCACAATGGAGTTGCTTACATTGAAACAAACCAAGCTTTTAAAATAGATAACTTTATCCCTTTATGGAGTTTTGATCTGGAGCCAAGCAGGACATATTTCACATGTCTATGAGTAATTTCACACACAAGGGAGATGTTACTTTTCTAAAAATCTATGCATGCGGTGTAGCAGAGAATGTAAGCTCTCTGATAACCCTCTGTGCCGCCTGATGAGCCCATGTGATACTCTGAAAGACTGACATTATGAAAAGGAAGTGCAATACAAAAGTAAAATCGAGACACTAGAATCGCTAATTCCACTTAAACATCTCTGCAATTAAACTAAAAAATAAGGAGCAAAAATAGGCTTAAATAAAACGCAAATAAAAAATGTACTTGAAAATGAAGACCAAGTGAATAAATACAGGTTTTTCACAAAGTCCAATGGATGATGAAAGATCTCCTCACCACTGTTCTGTGGCACTTTCAAACGAAGCTCTGTGGTGACATCTATTCCCCCTTCTCCCCTTCCCCTAACTTGTCCATCATAGTCACCCACCTTTGGCTTGGCTCTGGGTTTGAGCTGCTCCAGTTTCTTAGCTGCCGCTTCGATGGACGCAGCCGCTCCCAGAAGCTCAGTCTCTGCAATCACTGTGGGATCCTCCGGATCGACCCATTCTGAACCTGAGGCATGCAGACGCACAGAATTAGGGAATTAACCTGTATTATACTATACTTCCCAAACCAGGGTGTGTCAACGGAGCATGCTTCACACTGTGATCACACAGAAAACGACACTGTGAGCACAGGAAACTGAATGATGCACAATGATGCATACGTCCACATCCCATGCATAGCTGATGGAGGCCATTAACTGAAAATGGAGTGATTTGTTTTCAATTAGATGTTAAAAAAAAGCATGATGGAGAAGGCTGTTTGTGCCCAAAAAGCAAGAGTAGCTGGATTTGGTGAGATCATATAAAACAGTGCCAGGAAATCATTTTCTAACTACTCACAACTGGTGAAACATATCAAAGCATGTACAACAATGCTAACTTACCTCCATCTGTGGCGAGAGAAGGAGGGCAGGGAGATCATTAAGTTAACATAAAAAGGGTTTCATAGTTAAGGATTTTTTTTTCAACAGTCTTCCTTATGCATAATCTTCCTAGTAGGGACTATGAATCACATGTTTTGGCCTGAAGTTTCAATAATGGAATAAATGAAAGGGATTCCTTCCTGATGAGTCTCAGTGCATCTCTCGTGTAGCATATGAAGGGGAGATGTGCATAAGAGTGGTTACCTTTCATGGCTTCCGCGGTCTGGATGAGTTCTGTGACGGCACCAGCCACACGTTTGGAGCAGGCTGCTAGATGCTGCTTCTGCTCTGCAGTAGGCTTCTGCAAGACCTGCACGCACACCCACTTTTTTAATATAACTCATTTCAAACATTTCCACCCCTCATCATACTTCTCAGCAGAGTCTGACCTACCAGCAGCACTTGTTCCAGCAGACCGATGTAGCCGGTCGTGCACTCGGCTCCAAACATCAGCGCTCGCTTCTTCACCTCCTCACTGACCTCTGGATGGTAGGCAGCTTGCTGAAAGACAAACGCACACGGTTTCACGAGGAAGCCATTGATTTACTTTTAGCATGGTTTTTTTGGCATCAAGGGTTGAAAACTGGGACACGACAGTAGGGGATGTGCTGGTGACTAGACACCTTGCAGGTGCTCAGCATGTCGGAAATGGCTTTTCGGCTCAGGTTGGCGGTATGAATGATATCCTCCTGCCGCGCAGAGTTTCCAGCAGCCACCGCTTTAGCAGTTGCCATGGTGATCCCCTTAGTCATGCGAATGAACTCCTCCGGTGTGGTCGTCTTGATTGGAGCATCTTTGGATTGAAACAGCTGAGGATGACACGGACAGGCGGCACACCCAGGGACAAAAGTGATGAGACTCACGTAATAACACTAACTTGCATTCAGCATAAATCATTCACACAAAGTCACCGTGCCATATTACTGCTGTGGGCGCTTTGCCCACCTCCCACACTTACCGACATTTCCTGTTTTATACATTCAATGGTAGCCTCTAGAGCTCTTGTGCCCCGGGTGGCCTCGTCTTCTACGGCTTTGACCGTCTTCAGAAGGGATGTCACATTGGTCACCATCACCTGGTATAAAAAGTCCAGAGACACAAGAACTTTAGAGTTGTAATACAGTTGTGTGTTTATGAAAAGTAATAGTAATGAATGAATCAGGCAGTTGCTGGTTTTATGAGGGAGGAAGATAATCAAACAAGTCAAGGCATGTCAACAAACTGGAGTTCAGGGGCGCACATTACTAACAGAAGAAGGTCTAGACATTTAGCTGAATATTTTAAAAAAGTTCACACTTTTGTTTTTCAAATGTTGAGGATCAAAAGCTGCTTTTGAAAGGTGTTGCTACAATCTGGAAGACTGCATGACACTTGGTGCTGTTGGTGCCTGTGAGCTTAACAACTAAAAGCGATAATTGGTGAAGTGATCACGGGTGAGTAATGAACCGCGGGCTTTGTCATTTGCAAATATTCTTTTTCTCTTGCTCACAGGGTTCAGCTGTGTTTTTTTAATCTATAAAATACCCTTTCCACATCCATTTCTGAGACACAGAGCTCAGTGAGCGAGGTTTCATGTTAGCATGTGGCGTGTTCGCCTCTTCCTGAGGGAATGACAACATCTGCAGAACATACATGTTGTGAGAAAGTGTAGTCATTTTTGTAGCTATCCAATAAATCCAGTGCATAAGAGCATTACTCGTTAATCAGAGAAAAAGTTCTGCCTTTGTTAATATTAAATAAGAAGGCGGTTATTCATAAAATTTCCATCTCCAACATCTGAATCCATTCCCAGTGACAGTTTTGGCGTCCTAAACTTATCCCCTCACCTTTGCTGCGCTCTTCAGTTGGTACATAGATGGATCGTCTGCTGCCTTTCCAGATGCACACTTGGTGGCACTAATGAGCTCAGCCAGCGCCTTGGCCACATCTTTGACAGCATTTATCAGAACCACCTAGAAAGAAGACGGATGGACACTCACTGATCACACCAAAAGGTTATTCCCTTCCAGACTCATCTTCCCCCATTTCTCCAAATAATCTGCTAAAAAAATAAGGGACAGACATAGTTACTAACCTGTGTCTCAGGGTCATCAGAGCCAATACTGGCAGCACCAAGTTTAACCACATCGGTGAGCTGAGTGATGGTTTTGGCAGAGGACTGGGCCGCTTGAGCTAACTTGTCCTGGCCAGAGGCGGCGCCGGAAACCAGCATCTTTGTGTCCTCAACCAACGCTTTGGCTGTCTTCAGAATGTTCTCCCTGACAGGAGAGAATGAAGGAGAAATACAAGATATAGAGTAAACCTCACTGTCCACCATCCCTTTTCATATCAAAGCCTATACATAGTTAAGGAGTATAATTAAAGGTTCATTTCCAGGTTAATCAGTTAATTGGATGAGAGATGTGATGCAGAATTTCTCTGTGACATTACTTGAATGCAAGTGATTCTGCTGCCTTTCATCCTGTCCCAACGTGACTGCACTACAGTTTTGCTTTTCCCCAGTCAGGATCTATGTCCGAGTGGTATTTGGTGTCATAAGAAGAGTCTTGGATCAGTAGGTATATCTTACTTGGCAGGTTTAACACATTCACCAGAAAAGTGTACAGGCACACTCTTCAAATCAAATGACTGTATCTACTTTGTTCTCCAGCAGTAGACATGCTGGCTTGGAGTGGAGTCTTTTGCTGCATATAAACAGCATGAGATGTGTCACATCCTGCATATTTCAAATTCCCTGATTAATTTGTAGTTACCAGTGCCAGTGGCACTCCCCCTGTTCAGCAGCCAATACGTCATTGTGTCAGTTGTTAATGACAGATAAGCAAGAGGCGGATTTGGGACTCTAACGTCCTTGTACATGTTGTGACTTCTTGCATACATTTATTTGCCTACAAACACATTCATTTCAAGCTCGAACCTGTGGTCAGCAAAGGACTCATCATTCTCCGCATTGAGTGTGCCGGCAGAGGCAAACATGATGGTGGTGTCCAAGTCTGCAATAATTCCAGACACTGCGCTGGCTGCTGTGATGCAGGCCTGAGTGCCTTTGTTACCTGCCTGGAGGGCTGAAAGCACCAGGGACACCTGAGGACACAAACAAGCAGCATGCCCAATAATCATAGGTAAGACTGTGCAGTCAACTTGATATTAAAACGAGAGCAGATTGTGTTCAGACCAAGGCAAAGGAAAAAGCAGATGGGTGACTGGCTTGTTTGCATAGTAAAAAAAAAAAAGACAACAAGCTGGACTCCTTGACTTGTTAGATAAAATCAAGGAAAATGATCCCATTATTAAAGATATTACTTAAAAAGCTCTGCCTATTTGGAAAACAAATCTCTTTCAGGAGAAAGATCCAGTGAAAAGTCCAAAACACTAACTGATAAAGTACTGAAATGTTTGCTCTGACAGCTAAAAGTCATGTGGGAACAAACCAGCAAAGGACAACACACACTCAGTGCAATTAGTGGGTGCCAAACTCAGTCAGGAACCCTGACATAATGTGCACACTTCCTTAAATGACAACACAGTGCTTGACAGAGTGAAACCAAAAAAATAAAAACCATACTTGCATCGATAAAGCTGACAGTGGCACTGCAGGGAAAACCCAACCACACCAACACGAAGCTAGCAGATTTTCAATAAATATTCTACTAAGAATGGTACAGATTTGAATGCAATCATACAGAATAGTTACAAAAAATATATATCTTTATTTTGATGTCCCTGGCTGCTTATGTTAACAAGGGGGTGGACATCCTTGTATTCATACACAAATCACTGTCGGTATCACAGGATCAGGCATGTCTTTAAAAGTCATGGCAGCAAAGAATTGTGGAATAAAATGACCTCATTCCTCTCAAAGAGTTGTCTGGTGTCCATTATGTTAATCTAGATAATAAAAGGAAGCACCGGGGCTCTTTTCCGCAATATTTAGAAAATTGATGCAGCTCTTTTCATGGCTGTTATTTCACCGTAAGGAAGGTTCTGGGCCAAATAAAACCCATTCAACCGCAGACTTGGATCAGTGTGTAAGGGTAATTTTTCAGCTTTCTCAGCAAAGACATGTTTCAGCTGTAAGAAACAATTCATCAAGAAGTGGAAAGAGGTTTGAAATAAAAGGCAGTCAGATGGTAAAGTGGTACCTTCTCCGTGACGGTGCGGGCACAGTCAATGAGCTCTCTCTTGGTGAAGCTGTCAGAGGGGGTGATCTGCAGAGCTCCGGCCTTTTGGACCAAGTAGATACAGCCATGGCCAAGCTCCTGCACTCGGGTCTTGATCTGGAAACCAATCTGGAAAACGGACGCAGCAAAACACAGCTTAGAAAAAAACGTAGTAGCATCATGTTATGGGTAAACTTTGTGTAGAGATGTTTACAACATGCAGCTGTGACATAAGCCGCTGCACTGCTGTTGCTGCTTTAATCTGAGAGTCCTCACCTCTTCTGGCTCTGCTGTTCGAGCAGCCAGCCGCCCCTCAACGGCCAGCTGGCTGTAGTCCACGGTCACTTGAGAGGCCAAGGCCCCTAGTTCATCTGGACTTGTCACAGATTTTGTCATCTGACGGATGATAAACCCACAAAGAACTTTAGTGGAAGTGAAACGTCATGAACTTATTTAACTCAATGCTTGCACAGTTTAGAACACAGGTCCTTTTTCTTGTTGAACTAATCTAAAAGAAAAACAGCTTGGAGCATACAGAAACAAAGCAGGACTGTGTGGATCCTATAACAATGGGGCTTCTTCACTAACACAATGAGCACCAAGCAGAAGGAGCATCTTCAAACTTCAGGAATAATAAAGTTATCTCAAAACTATATTGTTAGGTTTTCGATTATGAAGTGTCACTTAACCAACAACATAATTAATAGACCTCCACTTGACATCTGGCCATAAGTCTTTAGGGTATTTTTACACAGAAAGCACAACCAGGTCGCCAGAAACTCCTTGTCGGTGCTCTGACAGACTTCCTCTTTACTGGTGTTTCACTAAATGATCTATGAGCTTCTATCAACACGGATTAATTAAATAACTAAATAATAATTTGATAATTCTGAGAAGACAGAAGAGGATGCATTTGTCACCTTATCGATAAGAACATATTTAACAGTCACAGCAACATTTCTAATATGGTCTTAAAGCATTAAGAAAAATCTCCAAGGCTTACCATTTCCTGAGCAGTGACAGCAATCGCCTTTGAGTATTTTACCATACTGGTCTGGTAATCCACAAATGAGCCCTCAGGCTCAGGCGGTGTGCCCTCATCCAGCTGGAGAAAGTGAGACACAGCCGGTTAAAATGGCAGAGTAGCTTTCATTTTAAGCATGACCGGTTTGTCCTTTGCAAAAGGCATCCGCGTATTCAAACAAAGAGACAATTATTCAGCCCCATGGCTGCAGCAACATGTTAAAATCTAATCTACCCCTCAATTACACTAATTCTGCCAGGTGTGCATGCATCAGTTCATTAACAACACCAATGTAATTTTAAATTTAAACAAACTATTTGACTGCTAAACATTAATTATAAAAAACCCATCCAGTAATTACAGCTACACAAATATTTGATCAGCAGCTTGCAGCGCAAACATTATGAGTCAAGTAGTTTTACTAAATTAAGACAGCATTCAACGGGGGAGATAAGAGACAACATGTGGGAAAAGTATACTAGGACTGAAATTTTTCAATGTCTCAAGTACCTGATGTGTGCTCCTCCCACAGAGAGAGATATATCGCCTTAGAATCTGCAGCCTTAACCCCAGTGACTCAAAATTCACGAGAGGAGCCTTTTAATCACCTCTGGATAAACCGCAGAGGAGGGCGAGCCATTATGCCGATTGATTATTTGAGAAGATTATCCTCATTTAATCAACACTGAGGCAGACACACACCTGCTTTCTCAACCTAAACCGAGCCCCTTTCATTTATAATCCATGAGCATTAATTTGACAGAAAGATACAGCTACTATGGGAGAAGCAACACCACTGAGGTACTGTGTATCCCATGTGACATTTTAGCTTGGGAGGGTGAGAAGAAATGCAATTAGTTGATGCCATTTGCCTTCTTTGGCTGAGATAAAAAGACCTTTTCTTACTTTTGCCAGTGGCTGTTAATTGGAAAGATAGTGAAAGATTTCTGGGTCCAAGTAAGAATGGCTGTTTATGGTCAATTTTCCTTTGCTTGGATGGCTTGTGATACGCCTTCATTTGTTAAAAAGCGCAAGATATTTCACACAGGAACATGAAAAAGTAGGTTTCAGCACAATAGGGGTGCAAGGACAGTATGCTGAGCCAACCAATCATAACAGTTTACTGTGCGAAACATAAAACGCCTTGGAAAGCACACGATGGACTGCTGAACTCACCTTGGCCATGGCCTCAGCGATCGACTCCACCATTCCTCCGACCATTCCCACCTCACTGGCAGCTTCGTTCAGCGTCACCATGATGTCATCAACCGCCTCTTTCATGAGCTGAGCAGCTTCTGCTATGGCGTCATGGGTGTGAGACGCCTGTGAGGTGCGACGCGGCACAACAGGGGCAGGGTCAATATCCTCACTGAGGTGCAGCAACAGCTCGATAATCAGGAGCGAAGCAGGAATTAAACAGTTTTTTTTTAAAAAGCCTGAAAATGGTCTTGCCTTTGGGTTTCCTCCACCCTCCTTGGCTGCATAGAGCATCTGCAGGGTAGACTCTGCTAATGTCTTCGTTTGGTCCAGGAAGGTCATCTGCTGCTGGTGGTCATTCAGCTTAGAAGCCACACCCACAGAGGCTTTGATCAGCGGCTCAAAGTAACCAGCCAGCTGTGTCACCTGAGGGCAAAAAGGCACCTTTTCAAATTGAGCCATTTTCATCACGTGCAACTCAAACCTTTGAAAAAAATTCATATAATGGAGCCCATTTTTCAGATCATTAACCTTGAAAAGAGATATGACAGAAGGCAATGGTGTCTTGATATCAGTGTCATGTTTCAATAATCTCATCATCACCTTGTTTTCTATGAATGAAGAGGGAAGGAAAACCTAAATGCTAACCATGTAATAATAGACTAAACCAGTTTGTATAAATATGTATGAAAAGACCTAAATCCGTTAAAACTGTCACAGCATCAATTTTTTTCACGTCCATTAACTTTTTTTCAAATAAGCACCTTTTCTAAAGACAGCTCAGACTTCATAGTTAGTGTTCTAGTAATTAACTTCCTGCCCCACATACCTTGTGTCCTAGTTGGGAAGCTTCGCCTCTGGCAGCTGTGGAAATCGGGTCAATTAAATGGCCAATTTCCTGCACGGTGGACGTCAGTTGATCCTGCAGTGCCTGGAGAAAGAAAAGCCATCTTTTCAGTTGTTTAAAAAAAAAAAATGTTTTAACACAATATTGTATGCAAATAAACGGCTGCAGAAAAGCATTATAAAAGGGAAGTGCACAGTAAGATACCAGCTCCGGGCAACTGTAGCCTGTTTTAAGTTTTGCAATAACAGAAATTTAATAACACATACAGTAGATAACACAAAAATCCTATGAAATCAAAACACCGTTTCCACCTGTGTAAAAGTTTTATTCTAAAAAATACATTAAACCCCCAGTTTGTGGTTTAAAAATGATCTTTTTAAACTCTCGTGTTATCACGAGGAAGCAATAAAACCTCATAAAAAAATAAAAAAACTACAGTTAGATGCAAAACAGAGACCGAAAATGCAGCAGTTAAACTAATAAACAAAACTCGCAGCCAAAACTGACAGTGAAAAAGACAGATGAGGGAACTGGCAGTATTAAGAACAAACTTCTCAAAAACAAAAAAGGATACCAGTAGTTGTACAGAAAGATGCCGACCTGTCCTCAGATGGTCTCTTACCTCCAGGGAGATGTCGTCCCTGCTTGGTAAGTTCTGGCTGACCGCTGCCAGAGAAGCCTGCTCAATGTCCCGGATACATTTGTTAATGTTATCAATTGATGAGTCGCACTCCCGCTGGCCTGGGGCCTTGTCCCTGAGAACAAGAGAGCAGAGGAAGAGCAGGGGAAGATGAAAAGCAGAAATAAATTAAGTGTTTGGAGGAAATAGAAAGTTACACACAGCAGGGGAGAAACCCAAGCTTTTAAAACATTGCAGGAGGGATCTGTTCTTTGCCATTTCTCTTCCAACATCTGGGGGAAAAGACCTCGTCAGTGCAATGGGACATCAAGGGCACCACATTTGTTTTGAAGCCACAGTGTTGTCTGAGACACTGCTGTCTCTGGCAGAACACGTTTTTCAAACATCAGTTTCACGGTAGCTTGCTGAGAGAAAAAACGCTAAAGGCCGGCATCGTGTTTGTAATGAGAACAAAGTTATGAGCTCTGCTTCTGCAGGATGGAGTCCATTGTTATTTGTATTCTTTGGCACCGCAGCAGATCACTGAATCCTATTACAGGTCTGGGCCGAAGTCCCGGAGCTGAATTTGTAGTCTATAAAGAAGACTGTGATAAGGACATCTGAATTTAAAGAGATGCTTAGCTGGCTGCGTGTGAATGCTAATGTGCAGATGTTCATAGACGAGCAGGAACCTTAACATTCAGTGCATTTGGCACCGGAGATCCAAGTCCCTCATGGGCATCAGTTTTGTTCTGATCAAGGTCAGGTGTAAAAAGGTGTGAAAATAGGAGATAAATGCAAAATGCAAAGGTATAACAACAACAACAGGTCATCCCTCAGGTATACAGCTTTTAAGCAGTTATCAACAGTGTTGTATACAAAGAATTATTGACCAAAAGCTGTGTAACAGCACAAAAGGAACTCAGTACTTCACAACCTTGGGTGTCTCACATTCACTGATCTCAATAGCTACATTAAAGCATAGAAATGACCTCACATGTGTAAAATCGTGAAGAACCTTGAGTGAGTCATGCTTGAGTTAATTTGAGTAATGGCAAACTCTAAATAATAAGACGCCATCGAGGGCTTTCTATTAAGAGCCATGCAGAGCTTTAGCTTTTATTCCATCACACATTCTGTAATATCTAGATGATTTTACCAACCGGATGGCTGTGATGAGACTCTTGATGGAGTCGGAGACCGTGCGGGAGTGACCAGCCAGGACAGACCACATTGGTGGGTCTTTGGGGTTGATGACAAGTGAGCGAGCAGTTTTAAGAAGATGGGTGGAGCTGTCAAGCATGGAGCGAGCCGATTGGAGGATGGGTTCCTGTGCTGCAGAGCCCTTTAGAAAGAGATTATGTCAGAAGTCCTGCAAGACACTACTGGTCTGTCATCAAATTCAACAGGAGAAACACACATACTTCACGGCTGATTTGAGCTGGGACGCTGGCAAACTCTGGGTTGGAAGCAAATGTTGTCAGGTTTTCAACAGCCTCGATTAGTGGAGCAGTGGCTACTCGACACTTGTTCCTGTTCTCGTCTGAGAAATCTCCATCTAAAGCCTGTAGAGTCAAAATATGATGCTGAATGACACTGATATGATTCCAATCAAACTTCTATCTCAGGCCTCAAACCAGGGAGTCAAGAACAAAAATGCTTAAAGACATTAGACAAATCATACTTTTGAGCTGTAGTAAAAAGGTAGCTGGTGTGAACAGCTATTCATTCAACAGGACATAAGCCCACATCAACAAAAGGCTTTTCCTCTCAAAACTGATGTGATTGCAGCACTGGGCATGCCAGATCAGTTTGAATTCCTACCTTGATGGTTTTTACCAAGTTGGCTGTGCTATTAGCCACCTCCTTGGCAGATTGGACAAAGTGCCTCTTAGCAACTGGGTTAGTTGTATTGGAGGAAGCCAGGCGACAGGCGTTGCACAATGCTGAGGTGTGCTTAGCAACAATGGTGGCTGCTGAGAGAACCTGTCCATTATAAAACAGCAAAAGATGCATTAGCAATGCAGACTTCACCTAACAACAGCACTCTGATATGTAGATGACACAGCAGCTATCCTTCAATCACTCGTAGAGCAAAACTTATATACAAATGATGACGCTGTTAGTCATTATAAGCCAAATTGTTTACTATAATTTGGTATTTTTGCCTTGATTAGACAGTCAGGAAATGTTAAGAAAAAGCAGGGAAAGGTTAATGCAAATGTTATGCCGTCTGGGATTCAAGCAAGAGAGGCCTTTGCAACGCTTTTGAGATATGGTTAGTAATGAGGTAAACACTTTAGACTGTCAGATCAACTCTGAGGGCATCTGATTACAAAACAGTGAGGATGTTTGCAAAGCAAGAAGATAAATGTCATCCACATAAATAAGTGATATTTGCCAAAATAAAAATGAAGCCTGCGTTCTCCTTCTGAATCTTTCCATTCAGCGCAAGAAGCTGCCTTTCATAACCCAAACCAGTTTAAATCACATCCTCAGGACAAAGACATGTGCATTTTGTTAATAAAACTGCTTTTATATGTGCTTCATAAGATGTTTCGGTTGTATAAACAGGTTTCATGGAGTGTGAACATACCTGGGAGGGGCTGCTTTCTGGGTCGACGAGATTCTGACAGGCCATCTGGATCGCCTGATTGGCTCTGGCAAATTGGATGGGATCCACCAGTCCCTGGTGTCCTGCCTGACTGTTTGGATCAGACACCCCCACCAGATAGGAAGCCTGAGAAAAAAAATGACACCTGGCGTTAATCATAACCATCTCCTATCACTATAAAGCAGCACTGTGACTGTGCGTTATCTACATGATGTACCTGTCCTGCAGCTTCAGTCAGGCCGCACAGAGCTCTGGAGGCTGAACCCACACAGCCCCCAAACACAGACACGTTTCCAGTCTTGCAGTTCTGAGAAATACCAGCCATGGACTCTCCCAGGACCTAGACAGAGAAACGGCAAAACAAGAAAGAATAAGTAGGGTGCCAAAAAAAGTGTGTGAGCAGTTTGACACAGGTTGAGCTGGAAAACCCATTTTAAGTGAGGCCTACCTTTGAGTTCTCCATCACACTCTCAATGCAGTCAAAGTAAGATAGGTCACTGATTGGTTCACTTGGGTTGTCCAACATCCCTCTGACAGCCTAAGAGATAAAGATGCAAAGATGAGTTGTGCAAGAGGCCGTGGTGGTTATTTATTTGAACTGAATCCAAACTGAGTGGACCCAGATGAGTGAGAGAGAGCAGGGCGAAAAGGCAGAGTTATAAAGGTCCTGTTTAGCCTTTGTTATGATGTCTGCTGATTGTTAATGGAGATTAACGTTTTGTGTACCTCCAGCTCTCTCAGGGCATTGTCACACTCCTTCTGCCCAGGGGCCTGCTGTGTGCACAGTGTGATCAGCTGGTTGATGCTGTCTGTTACAGCTCTGACAAACAAACAAGAACAGGAAAGACATCTTTTAAATTGGGGGATTATAAGAGTTTCCAAGGATACTAGCAGAAATACCCCCCACGGGACTAAATAATCTAAATCAAACAAAAGGATAGTGGCAGAAGATGAAGCTAGTTGTTGTACCTTGCTGCAGCAGATAGCAGGTTTTTGGCGTTTGCTGCTGCAGGATCCACAGAAAGACTTTTAGCAGCCAGCAGCAGTTTGCTGGAAGCCATGGAGATGTTCTTCAGGTTACCAATCACCTGTACCTGGTCATCCTTTTTCTAAAATCACATCATCATAAACATAAACATAAACGTATCTTAAAACGTCTTAAGTTTGAACTTCTTTACATGTCACAACACAAACCTGAGTGTGTCCGGCCATCTCGATGCCAGCATCCAGAAACTCATCAAAGTTATGGCTGAAATTGCCAGAGGCCACAGCCAGCTGGCTGCTGGAGCCACGAGAGGCGTGCACCACGTCACCTGCAGACTGGTTCAGGTCTGCTGCCGTTTGGTTCAGCTCATTCTGGGCCTCCTGGAAAGACTTGGACCCTGGAGGGATCTGAACAGAAAAGATTTAGGGTGCAATGTAAGAGAGAGTGCATCCAGCCCTTTATGCTGTTAAACACCAACAACACAGCCAAATCTGTGTTCGGCCCCAATAAGAAAAAACACACATTTTCTTGTCTTACCAGACAAAAGGTGCTTTTGAAATAAGTAAAGAATTGACACTTTTGCTAACTCACAGTATCAATAAGCAGCTTCTTGCTGGCTTCCCCGATGCTTTTTAGAGCCATGTCTACGTCCTTCTGGCCAGGCAGACAGTTGACGCAGTTATTCAGGGAATGAGACACAGCTTTAGCCACCTAGAACACACAGCAGGGCCACAAGAGACAAGTTTTTAAGATTAACAAAAAATATGAACTTTAAAACTTGATGAGCAAAGCAGTTTACAAGAATGTGCTGAAGAGAGTGAATCTCTCGAACAGAGTTTACTTGGAATTGACATTTGATGGTGCGAACTTTGTGCTCTCCACAAGCCGCTTGTAATATCAAAAATGGGCACACACAAGCAGAATGGACGATGCCCCCAAGCAAAGCTGAACCCTCTCACCTGCGCCAGCCTCTGCTGGCTCTCAGCGTCACCGGGGGATATCAGAGCTTGCTTGGCCTCGTGAATGAGAAGCGCAGAGCCCTCCATGACGTCACGGGCTGAGTCCAGCATGGCCGCTGCAGCCTTAGGGTCCGTGGTGGAAGCGGCAACCCCACGGGCCGCCTGGGCAAGTGTCTTCAGGGCCTGAGCCGTTTCTCTGGCTGCTACACCTGCAAATGAACAGAGTATGTTTGAGGCTGGATGAATTAGCTTCACTTTAGAGCTATGAATGCACTAACTGAAGTTTCATGCTGTATGCAGTACATAAGGAACTATTGAGACAACCTGGATGTACAAAAAAAAAGATAGCATTTTATTTCTTTGAGATTAATGTAATTATATCAATAACATCATAGGGGCAATCAAAACATATTTTACAAACTGACCTGTGTAGTGTTCATTTCCTTGAGCAGCACAGGTGAGCAGCTGGGCCATGGAGGATCCCACTGACTTTGAGGTGCTGCCCAAATCCTGAGCACATTTCTCCAACTAAAGTGGATATTTACATGAGAACAAAGGACGTGCTTTAGATCAAAGTAACAACATTTTTGGCTAAAATCTCATTCATCATTGTTTTAGGGATACTGCTTCCCTGAACTTCATGCAAATAATTTTTTCTCTCTTTTTCCATTTAGTGAAGCCAATTCAGAAAGTTTAATGGTTCTGAGAAGACATCTTACTGATTCTCCAGGTAAAGGTTTGAGTTGTGTGTTTGCAGCAGCCAGTTTGGCATCTTGCAGTTCACTTCTCAGGGTTTGGATGGCGGTGAGAGCAGAGTCGATTTCCATGGGGCCGCAGGCTTCATGAGCCTACGGAGCAAGAATCAATCACAGTTCACGATTCCAAAATTCTCACCTACATTTTGCTGTTTGATGTTTTGATACTTTTCCAAAAATGCAAGTTACAAAGCCATACGGAACACATCTTGATTGAAGATGTATCAACACATTAATTGTTAGTCGAAGGATTTAGAAGTGTCTGTCAAAAAGTGGAATGCTTCTTTATTTCCCATGCCACAATTCTAGCCAAGAAGTTCATGATAAATGCCCAAGAACAAACTAACTGATATTTCTCTGCATGTGAAACAGGTGTGGAAGATGCAGTGATTTTGTGAATAAAAGGATGCAGGCAAAGGTTCCTTTGTGTCTGTCCTGTACCTTCTGTGCAGACGTCCTCAGCTCAGCCAGGCAGGTGGCCAGGTTTTTGGCACACTGACCCAGTTGCATGGCTGCAGCCTGATCCGTCACCGTGGGAACAGATGACTTTGCAGAGGTCACCATCTTACTACCAGGCTACACAATGTGGAAGAAATAAACACATTTTAAAGATATTTAAAAAAACAAGTAAGAATATTAAACAAGAAAAATATGTTGTCCTTTGTAACAAATGTGCGGCATTTTATTTTATTTTAATTGTATTTTATTTAACCTTTATTTTACCAGGAAGTCCCTTGAGATAAAATCTCTTTTTCGAGGGAGACCTGGCCAAGAGGCAGCAGTACAGTAACACATATAAGAACACAGGACAACAAACTAAGAAAATCTTTTTTTTATTATTTTTTTTAAGAAAATCTTGAAGAAAATCTAATAATTTCAAACATTCCATCGGTACTTATTCAAATGCCAGCCCAAACCAAAAAGAGGCTAGGGGCCTATTCTTAAAAGTCCCACATGACAAACACTATTTATACTTTCAGCCTGGTTCTCATTGCAGGGCTAAATTTATTCAGTGGGAGTTTTGGGGGCATGAAGTTTAACTTAACTAAGAAATGTTGTAGCTATGAGATGCTGCACCTGTAGGAAGTTTTGGCTGGCAATGATGAGAGCGAGTTGTGCACTGAGGTCCTCTGGTTTGGCCTGGCTGCCTCGCACTCCCTGGACAAGCTGTGGGATGTGGTCTGCAACTGCCTGTAAATCCACACAAAACCCACATGCAAAATGAAATCAAACTAACCAGAAGAAAAAATAAGCTGTTCAAAGAAGAAAAACAGTACGGAGTCTTTTGGATTAAGAAAAAAAGAGAGAATTCAAACTGGGTACATCAGAAAGTAAAAAGGCCCTCGACTGTCAGCTCCGATGCTCACCTTGCAGCTCTGTACCAGCTGCTGGTGAGCAGCTGTGTTCTTGTTGGAGGCGGCAGCGTTTTGAGCCGCAGCGATGGTCTGCGTGGCTGCAGCTGCAGCTTGTTTGGCAGCATTCTGAGGGGAAAAAAAGGACCCATACAAGCATCAGGACAAAAGACAATTAGCAGAGAATTAACAGGTGTGGTGACATTCATGAAACATGCTCAGTCTCAATCTATTGTTTGCAGTGGTATTGAACTGAGAAGCATTCCATTTAGATCAATTTCACTCATTTCTACATTGGCAGGCAAAAAAAGAAATTGCATTATGTCAAAACCCCTGACATTTAATAGTTAAAAAGCTCTTCAAATAAACATTTATGGACTTATAGTGTCACTAAATGCTTTTTTGTTTTGTTTTTTAATAACAAACCACAACTCAAAAGGCTGTGAGCTGAGCCCTGTCCTGTTTGTCACCTATGCCTATGACTGCTCCCCCACACATACCACCAACTCAAGAAAATATGCAGATGAGACCACCTTGGTGGGTTATTATCTGGAAAGTCGAGCTGCCCACAGTGCTGTGTCAAACAATCTGAGCCTCTGCACAAAAAATCAGGAGGTGCTCACTGACACTCACTGAAGGGATAGAAGTACATATCCTGTCCAGTACAGCAGTGGTAAAGATAGCCCAGCAGCCATTTCGTGGTACCAAAAATGAACAAACTTGAGGAAAAGGCTGACGGCTATCTCGATACTGATCCTCCCTGTAATGGCTTGCAGGTGAACTCCATCACAGCTGACAAAAAATAGCTCCAAAAGATGATAAAATTGGCAGTAAAACAATAAGCTGTCGCCTGCCATTCCTGAATTACACAGATGGCTCCCAAAGCCTCTCCAGATCAGAAAAGACCACCACCACACCACCTGTTCACCTGTTGCCTTTCGGTAAGTGGTACCGGAGTATAAAAAGCATGTTGACTGTGCTGTTAGGACCTATAATGACCACAATGAATGACCTCTAAAAGCAATATTATGGGCAATAACAAGGGTGATACACAGCCTGGCATTAGCTCTCTGTCCAACCCTCTTATCTTACTGAAATGACACTTGTAAAGATTATTATATTGCCCAGACTTCCCCTTCCAGCTACTTATTCAAGATATATTTTTACATTTAGAGTGTGCCGTCCTCGTGTCTTGTCCGTTTTTTGTTTTTATGCTACAACCAATAATTTAAATGCACATTTGTCACAGCCTGTCATTGTACAGGTGTCCCTAGATAACAGTAAATACTTCTTTGTTTTTCTCTACGTACAATGAAGCTTCAAAGCTTTAAATCAGTGCAGACTGAAGGTAGGGGTAAAGTCACGTCTTATAATGCGCTCCTCTTCAACATTTTTTGGAAAAGAGAATCCCATTATATTTAGAATCATAAAACTGTAGAAAAGGAAATTGTAGCTGACCTCCAGCCTGTTAATCAGTTTCTTCTTGATGGCGTTTTGAGCAGCAGCGTTGGTGGCCACCCGCAGCCCCTCCGCAGCCTCCCTCAGTCTCTGCTGCTGGTCCTCATTCTCCGGGTAAGCGGCGGCACCCTGAGAAACAAACACACTCATCAGCTTGTACAAGGCAGGTGAGCAGGGGGAGCTGGTGTTAGAGTGGGGCGAGGCTAACGCCACAAAGTCGGATGATACAATCTGATTATACAAAACAAACTATAAAACCAACTGTCAAGAGATTCCATTTATTCCCCTCAACAAATGGCTCTTTCTACCTTATTCTCCTTTCATTTATCTACTTAAGAGGAACACAAACAAAAAAAAGGGTTTTATGGAGACCGAGAACATACCCACCCCCTTCTGTGGGAGAGAAAGCTAATCCTAAAGTTGTTAAGTTAATTAAATGGGAACATCATCCACAGCAACAGAGAAAGGAGGGGTGTGCCTGACAACCCATGTCACCAGGGATAATATTTAACCCCACTCTAAACAGATAGATTACAAGTCTTCTACATATTGTTGTTCACGCTGGAACACGAGTGTCCTTTTATTGTTTACTTGATGTCAATAGATATAAAATTTTACACAGCAATTTGTGTTATCATAAAACAGTGACTAGTGATTTCCTGAGCATGAATAAGTTTGTGAGGTGGAAAACGAGGTTAGTGATAACATGGATGCATTCAATAAATAAAAAATAAAAAAAGGAATCAAATAATTAGTCTCTAAGCCAATGGCTGCCTATGGTCTCAGCATCCATTAACAGACAAATATATGGCTGTATTATCTGGCATAAAACTCCACCAAACACTTCACTAAATCATTTTCATGATGGAAAAGGGGAGTTACTAGGATCAACGTGCCATTCTGCCGATGGATAATAAGACTGATGTGGGGAGATAGCAGATGGATAGAGGAGGTTGAGATGAGTGCAGAAGTTTTGTTTGCCCCTCAGCGTTCTGGCAAGGTAAGGTTTGGTCTCCTTTATTCTAAATCTGTCTGTGCTGCAATGTAGAAAGGAATGGATGGAAACCTAAATTCAGCAGGGGCTCCTCTTAATCCTGTTAGTTCTGCATTTCTTTTGACAATCGACTCTCTACTGCAACGTCCTAACAGAGAAATCTCTCACCCTTCTGATTTAAAGATGTTCAGCAAAAAAGGGCTCATGATTAAATCACTCTTTCTACATCTTGAGTAAGTAAACTAAATACTGTGAAAGCCCACCACAATTACACTGCGGCTACAAATAAATGGAAGTTGGCAACGGAGTCAATGTGCCAATCTCATTAGTAATCAATTAATTAAGGTTTCGATGTTTAACTGAGCAATTGCGTTTTGATATGATGGTTGTTAAATATGTGTTTATGAACTGTTGTAATAATTCAATTCCACTAAAAAAGGTAACTAGGAACCCATAGAACCAACCATAATAACCACCTCAATGTGTTTTTCCTACACACACAGCTGCCTCGGTGTCCCTCCACTGTGCTGTCATCTAAAAGGTCACTTTGGGTGTAGCAGAGCAGCAGTGCTCAGTTCTCAGAATTGTTCACTGGCGTACAAGAAAATCCTGCCGCTGTTATTAGCCTATTAAAAATCATAGACAGCCTTTAAATAAAAATGATTTTAAACTAAAAATCAGTTTGAAACCATACAGATGAGTCATACAAATAAGACAAAATGCCTTCTCCATGTCTGAAGGCTAAATTTGATTTAAATTGAGATGCAAATGTTTGAATTCTTCCGACACAGAGAACATAAATAATGGATGCTTTGCGCCTCACATGCTGCTCACCTTGGCTGCTTCCACCATCCTTGCAGTGGCATCTGCCAGCAGTTTGGCAGCCGCCAGCAGCTTCTTGGAGTTGTCCACGTCCACCTCGGCTTCAGCATCAGACCTCATGGCATTCACCAGGTCTGAGGTGGCCTGAGCCAACACCCGAGCCTGCCGGACCATCTCTCCTGCATGGTGACACAGTGGACAGAATGTATTACAGAGAAATGGATTGATGGATGGCGCCAAATTTACATCCAGACCTCTAAGGTTGTCAAAGTAAAATTGTCATTTGGGCTGCTTTCTCCCAGCCGAAGCACAATGGGATCACCATAGGCTCTACCAGTTAATAACCCTTTTTAAATATGAGTATTGACTGATCTACCAACACCTTGCTTTTGGTGCAATATTCACTCTTGTCTTGTTTTTACACTTATTGATGCGAAAGTGTGAAGCAACACATAAGTCTGTCTAACCAGCAGTTCAAAGGTGCAATTTTTCTCAAGGTTCTATTCGGCTAAATGAACAGAAACCTTGGCAGAACAAAAATAATTCCACTCAAGTATAAAACTAATCAATGGGCTGATCTTCTGGCCTCCGCATTCTCTGTGCATCGCTTTCTTTCTCTGCTGTCAGACGTGTTAACATCACTGTCAGCTTTCCTCTGTGGCTTCTCTCGGGGTGACAGGAGTCACCTCAAACCTACTGTCGTGTCAGTCTCGCTTAGGAGACCATGGGATGAGATGTGCACAGAGCAACAAAGAGCATCAATTCAAACTCGTTCCCTTCCCATCTTCAAATACAGGCAAATGAAATCCCCAAAATAATTATCTTTCTATTATTCGACTAGATGAGAAAAATGTTCCAGCCACATATCTTTGTTGAATTTAATACATACTCAGTCTAATCACATTAAGATAAACACTTTGCTGACAAAGTAAGTGCAATAAATCCTGAAGGGAACCAGTGGGCAAAAATGTTAAGCTCAAATCTCAAGATCTATAGTCAATTTTAGACAAATCAATCCAACAACTTGCTCAGATTATTTCACTATGATAATCATGATTCCAGCCTAAATCAAGGAGGACCAGATTCTCACCATCTCTTCTTCATGCTGGTTTTCATGGGCAGGTTTCAAATAAATGGTACACTGATTTATCTGTACAAAGGTTAACCAAAATATGAGCCTGAAGCTTAACAAACATAAGCCGTTTTTGTCTTTGGAAATCACCTGCATCTCCCATAGAGCTGAAGATGCTCTCAGTGACCGTCATGATGGTGTCGGTAGCCTGGTCGTAGCGCCCGATTGGCTCTCCCCTGGAGGTGTACTGACGGACGTGTTGCAGGAGATCTCCCAGAGCCTGGCTCACCACGCTGGCTGCTGCGCTCACCTTCAATAACAGAGGCACATCTTTAATAACTGTTAATACCTATATCATTCATTCCTCTTATTCCAACAGCCTATGAAGAAGGATAACATTTCAGTAACTCCTAACCAGGATTCATCTGAATGAAAAATATTAAAATTTAACTGCCCTTAAATTGTATCCTGATCTTTCTGTCTGACTGGGCAATATCCATTTTCTAAAACAAGGGGAAAAAGTAGTGTACAACTCAAACAGACCTGTTTGAGTAGCTCTCCGTCCTCTGTCGCAGACAGACAGGCCTGGACGCAGCTCTCCACCGAACGGTCGACCAGTTTTCCAGCTTCGATAAGCTGCTCCTGGCAAACTGGGGAGCTGATGGTAGGACTCACCACCTAAAACCACCGCAAATTGTTATGCAAAAGACAGAATTCAGCGTCAAAAAGCAAAAGGGAACTATTTTGATTTTATGATCAGTGCTAAATCATTTAAATCAGAAAAAGGATTATTCAGAAGTTCAACTTGAGAAAAGAGATGGAAAACGATGTGAGGGAAAGGGTTTTGAGGGTTCTCATCCCACTGGGAGGTGAGGATCTGTTTAGTAAAAGCAGCTATTCAGAATGGGAGCCAAGGCACCATTCAGGGTAATTAGAGGCATGTGGGCTGTACAATTAGGGATGCACAAAATGATGAGAGCTAAGGGTATTTTCTGGTCTCTTAAGCGTCTTCATACATTCACTTTGTAAAACTACATTTGTTCAACTTGCAGGGTATTATTGATCCTGACTAGCTCAATCTTCTTACTGATTATTATAAACATTGGATAATGCCAACATGAAATAATTACAAGTGATAGCCTTGCACCACTGTGAATGTGGTATTCAAATCCAAAACATAAATAGAAATCAGTCCAAAAAAGCACGTACAAATATTAACACTTTTCATTAAACGCTCATCTCATGTTTGATTGGAAACATTGGAGGATACGATACCCTAACGTGTTAGAAAAAAAGATATTCTCATACCTTAGCACATGCCACCAGCTGGGAGGTAGACAGGGCGCACTGTGTTGCGGCAGCTATGACCCGGTTCTGCAGGACGGAGTCCTCTGCCACCTGGGCAACATTCTTGGCCTTTAGCACCAACATGGCTGCTGCATTGGCCACTGCTTTGGCCAGATTCATCAAGATGTCCTACGAAAAAAAAAAGTAGCAGGGATTGAAAACGTACACATGCACACACCATGTTGACCCTAATTTCATTAAATGATGCACCATATTAAAGTAGTATTTAAACCGTGCAGATAAGGGTTTCATTTTCTGGTCAGTTCTGAACAGAAAGGCTCTTGTAAACCTAACTAATTGCATTTATTAATGCAATTAAATACATTTCATGGGAAATTAAATAAGTTTAATGGAAAATAATGCTTTCACTGAAGTCATGAAAATCTATACCTTCTAAATGACTTTGTGAATGTAATGAAAGCTGCGGCACCAAGAGAGGAATCTCAATCCAATGTATGCACTTAATCACAGCACATCAGCTCAACTCATCATCACAGAACTGATTTTGAATATCAAAAAGACTTCAATCTGAGTGATGTAAGAGGGGACGGAGGAAGAAAAACATTAAAACTCGTGGCCAATTAAATGAATAGCTATACTTGACAGAAAGGTAGGCTGACAATTCAAATTGACACATATCGTTAAAAAGATGGCAAAACATTCTACATCCACACATTTCAGTTACAGTTTGACTTTGAAGAGGCAAATGGCAGCTCTAACATTTGGCTTAGGCTGAATGCAGATTTAATGATGAAAGGAGGGAAGTAAATGTTACCTGGAACCTCTCATCGGTCTCATTCTCCCCAATCTGGCGCAGGAGGTCTCCGCTGGCCTGGCCAATGCTTCCTGCCGCTGTCAGAACAGTCTGTCTGGGCTGCAGACACACAAAGAAAAGCATTAGGACGCTGTGTTTCAAACATCCTGCACCATCTTTTATGTGATACGTGTTATACTGAACGGTGTGATAGAGTGACAGTGGCACTGAAGAAAGTTATTCTAAAACAAGAGGTCTGCAGATTGCAAGTCAAGTGTGATACGCTACATTACCTTCTTAATAATTATATCACTTTAAAAACTCTATATGGGTATTGGTGTGGACATTAAAGCCATAGCCACAACCATATAGAGCTGGATGTGTTCAGGAGAGTTTGAGCTGGCTTTGATACCTCTCCAGAAGCCGGCTCAACAGCCTTCAGCAGGTCAGACACAGCCCCTGCAAGTGTCCTGGCAGCCTTCATCAAGTCGTTTCCTCCTCCAACATCATCCTCCATCAGTGCGGCCAACAGTTTCACACCCTTTGACATTTCAGTCAGATTGGAGGAGATGGTGGTGATGGCACAACCCACAGCTGTGTAGTCTGTGTCTGTAGGATCACCTGAGAGACAGCAAAATGTTCTGGATATAAAGCGCAGTCAGGCAAAGGGGAGACTGACTAAAGATTCACTGCCTTGTCCAAGCAAGCATATTAAGTATTTGCATCCAACTGAATAAACAGACAAATCTGTTCAAGTAAAGCAAGCAAGCAAAAGTAAAACAAGAAAAATGGCAGACCTGAAGCAGAGCTAGCCTACACCTTTACCAGCCCACATTCTCCGAAACCACAGCAAGATTTAAGTGAACTATTAGACTTTATATAGGTTCTACTGTGTTGGTAATCAACACCAAACCGATGGAAAAGTTATTCTTTAACCTCAGTAATTTGCCATGTCATTTTAACTACAGAACATGCCATTCAAGAAAGGTACTTGTAAAAGTGTGGGCTTAAGTCTGTACACTTTTAATGTCTTTGTTAAAGGTTTCTAAAAGACTTCATTTAGCCAACATCAATCATTCTGCCCAACACTGACCTCAGTGTACTTAAACCGTTTCAACTTAGTCTTTTTGTTTCTTGAAAAGTGCCATAAATCTATACCCTGTTGGTGCACACACTGGTTTCATGGCGCTGAACAGAAATGCAAAAGAAATGCTACTGACCAGCTGTGAGGTTCACAACAGAGGCTGTCCCTGCAGTGATGGCATCAACCTGAGAGTGGATCTCATGTTTTGATTCATCCATCTTGTTCTGGATCCAAACCTTGGATGCCTAAGCAGACACCACAGATAGAAATCAGTGACAGTAAAACGGCGTCATAGCGTAATGTGCAGCACGTTAGGCCACAAGCATGCATTGCTGTGTACAGTACCATGTCCTGTCCCAGCGGGGGGAGATCGTCGACCTCTCCCAGGTCAATCTGGGCCTTCTGCACAGCCTGCATGCTGGTATTGATGGTTCCCATCAGAGCCTGCTGTGCTGAACTCTACACACAAAGACACTCATCAGGACACATGAAGACTAGAGGGATTTGTAAATAACTGAGGTGTAAGCTTATCTACAGCTGATTTCTCAAGCAGCGTCTCGTTGCTTACCAACGGTGGCATGTGTCCACGGTGCATTTGACCCATTGTGATCTGTTGCTGAGGGGAAGGCATGGTACCCATGCTCAGAGACTCGGTGCCGATGGAGCCAGAGCGGATGACCCCGGGCAGTGCAACGGAGCCGTGCTCCACCCGGCCGACGCGGTTAAACTGCTGCTGGAGGATAGTGGACCTAAAAGTGCAAAACAGACAACATGCAGCTAAATCCTGATTATCCAGTAAACAATGTAAGTTATAAGTTTTCTTGGGAAAAAACTTAACAAAAAAACAACAAAAGGGCCATTAAAAAAAAGATTAATTTATGGGTTTCCAGACTTTTAGGGTTTGTACACAGACACATTTAGCAATATTTCGCAGCACATTTTCTGCAGTTGTGACAGCTAACCACTATCAGTAAATGATGATGAAAGTCCTTCCTCGTAGAAAAAAAAGGGCTTGTTTTGCTCTGCTTTAGATAAGGTCTAAAGGAGATCAGCTTGCTATGTCTATGCAGTGTTAAAGACTTGTACCATTGGCAAAAATACAATAACATAGCCAATGTTTGAAAGCAGAGCGGCAATATCAAAACAAGCTGGACAGAAAGAGGACTTCTGTTACAATGTGAAAGTCCAACGTGGGTAAATGAAGCAATACAGATTTAATCAGGAAATATACAGATAGAGACTTCCTCTGTCCAGTGACAAAATGTCCTCACATAGTGATCATATTTCTGAATGTTCTTCAGCTGAGGACGTGTAACAATAAAAAGTCCTGGAAGATGGATGTGAGAGCTTGTGGTCAAGAATTGCAGAAGGAAGAAAATAAATAAATATTTTGTGTTAGAATAATATAGAACAGTTTTACATGTTGCTACCATTGTTTTACTCCAAGTCAGGAATACTAAAGATCTACAAGTCTGAACGGCAAGAGTAAAATAAAAGCTGTGTGTATCCGTGTTTTCATACTTTTTAGGGGACACAGATTCCTCAAGCATGGTAGACTCCTCATCACCTTCTAATCCAAAGCGGTCCTTGCTTTGCTTCTAAAGTAGAGAGGAAAACAGACCTTTGTGACAACATAAATCTCTCAAGAGTCTTTATTTGCATTCATCATGGTTTGAAGGTTTTTGATTAATTCATGCTATTGATTAAGACCTCTCATCCAACTGCTTTGTTAAATAGCAACACAGGTCTAATAGAATGCATCTATAGGTATTCAACCACAAGGATTTATAAGTGGCTCCATGGAGATATATATATATAGATTCACAACTTACCTTTTTGAGGATGATGTCGATGTAACCTGCAATAAGCTGGGAAATCTGTTCCCCTTCAGTGGTCTGCACCGAGTAGTAGCTTTCCTGATACTCCCCAAAGTCCTTAAAACAGAGTTCCACCAGAAACATGAATATTCTACTGGACTGGAGGAGCTAACGCAGTAAGCGTGCTGTATACAGCCTAAGGATTTACTGTGAGGATTAATGTGAATCCGTGGAGACAGCTAGTCCCAGATGATCACCACACATTGTGTTGGTTTGACATCACGCTGCTGAACACAGTCAGATTAACCCGAGAGCAATCTTGGAGTCGACTGTATGACAGGAAATTGAACGCTTTTCTGTCAGCTGAGCATTGCTACAGTTTCACGTCAGAAACATACACAGGCAAATCTGGATAAAAAGCTAAATGTTAAAGGCAGAGGTATGTGTTCTTGACAAAAACACCCATGAACTTGAAATTGAAGTCCATACTCCACGTAAACAGCAAATGAATTACCAACAGTATGACGAAAAATGCACACAGTAAACCGAAAAAGCACTTCAGTGACTGAATTATCCCCCAGGAAATGGGATTTGTTAATTCAATACTGACAGATCTTTCAAAAGATTAAACTTATGCCGTTGGTTGGCACTGGGTGCTGACGCAGACTGTAACTGACAAAAAGGGGTTTGTTCAACACTGAAGTCCATTTAAGATGGAAAAGAACAGAATGGTCAAACACTCTTTTTGAGCCCCTCATTCTTACTTCAAAATCAGGGAGCAGTAGTTCCAGATAAATAAGGGAAACATTTTGAAGTGTTGTTTCAAGCAGGCTTTGAAACCAGTGCAGGGAAAAGAATGTGTCTTACCAGGGTGAAGCTCTTAGGTGATGCCGCCCACCTCTTCACAGTCGTGAGTGGCCACTCCTGAACTACATCTTTGGTCTTCTCATCCACTCTCATCACGCTCTCTTTGGTAATGCCCAAGAGCCGGGGCACCAGCTTGTTCTTACTCTTCATCTTTTCCTGTAAAAGCAGGAAATATCTAATCCACTTAAACTGAACCAACCTGAGACTGAAACGGTAGCTGAGGATCAGCTGTTACAATAAAGACAAACTGTAAAAACTCTACAGATCCTCGATTGTAACAGGCACATTTTTAAGCCTGATTTAAGGTGTTTTACATTCAATTTTTTTTTTTAAGTATATGTTTTGTATGTCATCCTCTGCTTCCCTACAAAGACTTGGACATGGAACAGACAGACCATTAAAACCCCTAACCCACGGTACAGGTCCCCTTTGTGCAGCTTAACCAGCTTCATCACATAACACACAACCTTTGGGGGTTTTAGAAGGTGTCTGACAACAGGATGTTGAAAGTCTTTGGGTTTTGAGGCTCACACGGTGGGAATTCAGTGAATGAAGCTGTGAGGAGTTAGAAAGTCAACACCCAGGGCTCTTTGTTGAGCATTTTTAACTCCCTGCTGTGAGTGACTGCCCAGGCTCTCGTGGAGAGCAACTGGGATTTTAATGTTGTGATAAATGTTTTGCACGTTTCCCTTAAATGTCAGCTGTATTCCCTCAGTGATAAGCCTAGACTACCGTAAATGAATTAGAATTCATTTCCATATCCTTCTACCATGCTGTGGATATTACTGGAATTAAAGGCATTGAAAAGAGCAGGACAGATAAACAACTCCAGCAACAAAAATGAAATGTCAATCTTAGGCCTCTCAGAAACTAAAGACCATTTTTCTGCCGTGCTGAACTGTCAGGATGGGTAATTCATCTGTCTAACCAGTGTGGGGAAAAAGGAAAAAATGTCAATCATACGTCTTCACCGTTTCTTTATCCCATACATTCCCCCCGTACACGTACTCAGGCAAGACTTCTTTTTCTCTTCTGAATGCACTGAAATGGGAAAATGCATCTTTCAGAAGAAGATGGAAAGAGCATGATGGGCTGTGACGTGAGGGCAAAGAGGTGAGGTGTGCGAAAGTCCTGGAGGGCCTGTAAACTTTCTGGGGCCTCTAAGGGTTATAGGTTAGGGCCGACAGCCCACATTCTTTCCGGGGTTATTTCTGAGCTATTTCTGCTCCGATGGATTACCGTCATGGATCAGAGACATAACAAAGGTGAACACACACGATGTCAAACTGATCAAGAGGTACCGGGGTGGTAAAATGTTGTTAAAGATTTGTGTTTTATTTATAGAAAGGGTAAAAGGCAGAGTGGGCAGTGGACTCGGAGAGGGTGCCAGGGAAGCATTCTGTGTAGACGGGGATATTTCCCAGGAGTAGCAGGATGTCCTGCTACACACACACACACACACAGCCAGAGGAATCTGTCACTCATGTCACAGCACTGAAAATCAGCTAAATTGTTCCAAACTGCTGGAATCTGCTGGCAGTTGGACTCACTTAGCTGAGCACCTTTAAAAAGATTACCTTTAGGATTTCTGTGTCTCCTTATACGTCTCACTCATTCTATCCTCCCCCACTCCCTCTGAAATGATCTCAAAGCCACACTTGGCGGCACAGACATTTGGTTTCCCTCCAGGAACACCCTGAATAGCCTGCAGAGTGGGTACTGTGTTTGTGCGTGTGTGTGTGTGAGTGTGCGCGATTTTGAGTATGTGAAACATTTAAACGTTCAAGAGATGTACAAATGAAAATGCATGGCATCCAAAAATTCAAAGGGTTCATTCCACTGGTGACTGTGTCTTCTTTGACTGAATAATTTTGGCAGATTTAAGTTTTAGAAGGCCTTACAAAGCCCCATGCTTTCCCAAAAAGAGAGCGCTTTTTCTGAGAAGTTTTGAAAATTCAAATGGACACAGGTGATTTTCTCCACCCGCTGCTTCTGCCAAAAGCCTCTTGATCTCTCTAACACCAGAGGACATTTTTCACAGCGCAGAGATTCAAAGTTCTGACTACATTTTAGCCATTTCTATAATCTGCCTCCTCATTAAAAAGTAGCAAGAACTTGAGGCCATATATAGCAACTTTTGTACGGTCGGAGAGGTAATAACCTCTGAATTAAATGAAACAAAAAAAAAGAAAAGAAAGGGAAAAAAAGCATTTGGGAAAAGTACAAAGATCAAAGGTATGACTTTCAACTTACTTTAACCAGGAAGAATGAGACACCATATGTCCGCAGAGACCGCGCCAGTTTGACATATTTCACTTTAGCCTCGATCTCCGTCATTTCTCCGCAATTTTTGTGCTCCTGCAGGTTACATTTTTCATGTAATTTTTTGTCAAAATTAGAAATCACAATTTGTTTGAAAAAAGAAAAAACAAGACCAAACCTGGAAAACTTTCTTCTCTGATCCTCTCTGTTTTATGTACTCTTTGGGAAGAAACTCCTTCAGACTTGAAAAGAAATTTTACTTATTAGAAGGTGACATTCAGTGAATAAATATAAGATGACAAATACTTCAGCCAACAATCTCAAGCATAAAGCATCTCTTCAATAATGCTTTTTTTCCTTATATTTGAGAAAGAATCTAAGGAAAATCCATTTTCATGCAATGTCCGAAAGAAACTGCCTCATCAGAAAAATGCTTACTCTAAAAATCCCGGCTTGTGTTTATGCTCCATGTGAGGTCCAAACTGAATCTGGGCCTGAATGCCCCCAAATTCACAGGCCTTGTCAAACGACACAGGGTGGGAGCCGTTAAGGATATCATCTCGAGCCTGTAAGACAAAAAATTTGGTTTGCTGTGTATTTGCAAGATATAAAATAAAACAGAGCTGAATTTAAGTGTTTGGTGGAGAATGTCTAAAGTTTATTTCTGAAATTATTTTTATGCCACTCTCCAACTTTTTTAGAGTATCCAACTGCTGGTGAACTGAATCCTTACTATCTGCCCACATCTTCAGAAAATTGCAACAGTTCTATGTTTCTAATACACCAGCAGGCTTTCTGCATAATTTGCTTCTACTTATAAGAAGAAGCAGCTCAGCATGCACTTCCAATCTCTTATGACTGGAGGTACTTTCACCAGCCCCTACTACACTGGTTCTGGCATTTGAACAAAAACTGCATGGGAAAGTCTTTGTTCTTCAGAGCTGCTTTGACCATCGTTGACTGAATTCATTAGAGACTAGTTCAGGAGAAGCTTCCACAGAAAAAGCTAGGTCAAGACGAGGGCCAGACCTGTACGTAGAGCAAGTTGAGCTGAACTGGGTCTCGGGAATCCACATTCTGGTCAGAGTAGAAGAATTTACGTCTGAGCAGGAGAGTCTCGTTCTCGTCCACCCCCTGCTCTCTGAAGGTTCTGCTGTGGTCCAGCCAGTTCACTGCAAACACACAAATCCCACTAATAAGTGGCCAGACATGTCTCTGTCCCTCCACACTGCAAATCTGAGCTGAATATATTCTTTAGAAAATTAGTTAAAGAGCATTAGTCTATTTGTTTCTACATCCATTTATTTCCAACTTCTTTTTCTCCTCAACATGAAAACTGACTGCCATTGTCTACGTCCCGTGACGATCAGATTAGCTATCGGGTAAGAAGCCTTAAAGAAGAGCAAGAGAGAGTGGCTCTTGACAAAGCCATGGGAGAGCGTCTGGAGGAATGTGGATTCAAAGAGGAAAGGAAGAATGGACAATGATCTCAGGCCTAGATCTAACCCTCCCATATTCCAGTGAAACATGGCAGATATTACAGAGATCTGAAATCTGTGAAAACACTGTGTATACCGATTCAATTCAGACACACATATGTATGCTAAATGTTTTTGTTCTTACAGTCATCATCCGTGTGTAGTTTGGCTTTCAGCTTCTCCATCTTCCTCTCATCTCTCAGCAGCGTCCTGTCTTTCTTTAACGTACCCATCCCATCATCCTTCTTTTCCTCCACCGTCTCCTGGATCAGAGAGTACTCCTCGTAGTTTGTGATTCCTGGGATCAGATATAAATTATTCTGATAAAAGTCAGGCAGACATGGGGGTTTGTTTCATTGCGTGGATGTGAGTAAATTATTAAAGCTTCAGCAGTATGTTTTTCTTGCACAGTTTAAGTTGAGTAGATTTGTACTAATGTTTTTAAAATATAGTAAACAGTTTATACTAGCCATATTCAATTTGTATTTTAAAAAGTAGAGACATATACATATAAAGGCAGACTAAATTATATGGTATACCTATTCTACTGCATATGGTCACAAGCAATTCGCCCACTGTTTTGGAGTCGTCCACCATGATCGTTTTCACAGCCCCATCCAGCATTTTAATCTTCTGTGGTTTTTGCTTCTTTTTGTATTCAAGAATATCCTGTTCAACAGAAATAAGTTGGACAATGCAGAACATTGCCGAAAACAATTAAAAAACACAGAAAAATACAGGAACAACAAAGAGCGAGAGAGAGTTGAGGACTAAAAGCAGGAGCAGAGGAAAGGATCAAATGCTTCCATGTTGCTGGAGAAAAAGGGGGAACAGAGGCCAGAAAACCTCATTTAACGGCTGCCTATCACAGCCTGCTGCTTCCCTTCCAATCACATAAATGAGGTGAGATTTGGTTCAAAATAATTGGTTATAGTCATGCTGTCCACCTGAGGAGCCTTTGGCGGATTTGAAGAAAGGGGAAGCATTTAGAGCCGAATCGCCACCACAAATGGGCTGAGAGGCAGAGCTGCTCTGGTAGACAGAGACCGATTCAGTCAGGTCTTTGGCAGCAGATATCACAGACTTTAAACCAAGCCGGCCAGCCTTAAACAGCTGGCTGGAACACTTTCTAGAGCTCGATTTTAAAAGCTGCTTTAGATGTCCCAATTGTATCGATGTCCAATTTCATCCTACAGTCTTTGTAACAAGGTCTCTGAGTTTTTATTTCTTTGTGGTGGGATGAAAAGAGGTTTTTCAAAATTAAAACAAATAAAATAAGCAGTATTAACAAGCACGTTGCTGGCCTATGAGATTGTCCCATAGATCTCAGCCAGTAATTTTCCATTAAACATCTAGATAATGTTAAAATATGAAAAATCAAGACAACACCCATTAGGAGAAGTGTTTGTGTACAAAAAAAAAAGCGAAGAGCAATGTGTATGTGTTAAGTAGTTTCATAACATTCTTATAAGGAGTTTGTGTAAGCCGTTCCCAGTCACCACTCAGACCAAGTATTCACACCATGCAAACAGTTATTCATAGTGTCAGTGTACTCGTTTGTAGGTTAAACAGATTGATGGGCTTACCCCATTGCGGAGCATATAATAATCCAGTGTTCTTCCAGACTCCAGCCAGATGCCTTTTCTGGGGTCTTCATCAGACAGAAAAAGGCCATAGTCTGAGGCTGGAGCAGAGAAGAGAAACATCCGGTGTTCAGACTTTTTAATAAGATGAAAATGACTTCTTTCTTTTCAGCACGCACAACAAAACTGATCATCAAACACAGCAGTTTCTCATTTTGTCCCTTGTGGCTCGCTATGCTGTTAGATAATCATCAAGGCAGCATCTAAGACATCGATCTACAAAAGGGAAAGGGAGTTTTTCTTATTTCTCTGACAACTTTTCTAACGTGTTCTGTCGTTTCACTTTGTAAAATAACACACTCCTCTTAAAGGAAATCTGAAAACAGGCCAAAGAAAAGGGGAATAATGAGTTTGGTGTGGTGAAGGCATGTTGTGAGGTGAGTAGTTACTTGAGGTAGGGAGGGGCATTTCTGTATGTGCATTGCTGAGTGAGGAGAAAAATGATGTATATGACCCGTCGAGGAAAAAACAGGACATAGATAGTTTTATGTCTATTGGCAGAAACTGTCCAGGGACACTATTTCACTTCATTTTAATAGATTTTTGTGGTTGTTTTGGGGGGTGCTGATCAATCAGACAATGCTGTATAACTCATTCACTGTAACTCTGCTCCTCACCCTGTCCGGTTTGGGCCTCCGGGACCCTCTCTCTGATGATCCTGCAGGCGTCGTAGACAGCTGTGGAGGGCTCAAACTGCATCGTCTTCACAACGTTGCATTGACGCACGCAGATTTTCAGCGACAACACCACCATCTTGGAGAGCGGTGTGGGCAGGCGCTGCAGCTACACCTACACCAAACAGAGCAGAGGGGGAATTCTCTCATCTGAAACCTGAGCACAGGAATGAAACTCACTGAGTGAGAGTGATGAGGCAGAAGCTGAGGAAAAGTAATGACCTGGGTGTTGCATCACAGAGAGGGAACACAACTTACGCTGGCACACCAGTCTGTTACAAATAGGAGAGCTAATTCCAGTATTCATTCCACTGAAAAGCTAAATGAATCCACTGTGCAACTGAAAGAAAGCTTTAAAGCGACTTTTGCTTTATCCATCTGTGTGTTCTTGAAGGTCATCATGCCGTTATGTCGTCATTCTTTATATTGCAACTCCACAAACATTCAGATTATATTAACAAGTCCATGAACAGCCAGGCCATTGTTAAGTTTCACAAAACAGAAAAGCTGACAAGTAATTTGTCACTTTTTGAAAGTTGCCCATCTGGTCCCTGCTGGGGATGATAAAGAAGCCTGAATATTCTGTGCAAAAGAGACACAGTTGCACTCAGATGGGAAAAGGCTGTTCTCTGCTATCTTTTTTCAGTTGCTAAAAACAAACCATTGCTTAAATATTTGCAAGTCCACACTCTGGAGTCATGACTCATGAAAGGTCAGAAAGCTGTTTGAATCTTATCTCGGTTAATGTAAACAGCTCCTATAAAGCTAGAAAAAGCAGCGTACTCAACACTATGTTGGCAAATGCAAACAAATTCTATTTTCCACAAAAGGCTGTATAATTTATTCAATTTCATTGTGTAACAGCAGAGCACACAATCAAAAGATCTAATACATCAGAATTATAGTAATCTATACAGAAAAAAGTCCTGTAAATAAAGGCTTAGACCGTAAATCATGAGCTTTGTAGGTGTTCTGTTTCAGTTCTACTGCGATTCAAAGTTAGGAATAAAGAAAAGGGTTGTGATGTCCCTCAGTGAGCACATCCTGTCAGGGGACCAATGGGAACAGAGCTGCTCTGTGACTGTGGGGGTCAAAGGTCAGATCAGGCCACTGCTGACGTTCACAGGGAGCCTCTCTTCTGCCCTGCTGGCTCATGACCTTAACCCAGACCCTCAGAATCTACTTCCTATGTGAGATTTGTTCACATGCAGGAGAGAAGGTGTTTCTCTGGCATGTTGACACTCCTGAAGTCATACAAAGAGGGACCATTCAAAGATGCAATGGCATGCACAAGTTTGGCCATGAAAATCTCTAACTGAGAAAAGTTAGAAAGAAAGAAAGCTTAAAGATTCTTAAACTCATTTTAAGACTCATCGAGTCTAAATGGCAATCAAATCTTCTGTTTTTGAAAATTTAGAGTAATATTAACATATTTTAAAGCTGTGTATTTTTAGGGAATGCCAAGTCATCTGTTACACTTTGGAAAATGTAAGATGAACAGGTCAGATGAACTGAACATGTACAGAACCTGTAGATTTATCACTGCAGTGGGTTCTGTCTCACAAAACTTTTAGCTTCCTGTTGATAGTTGATTAACTGAATACAAACAGTAACAACTGTCTCTTTCCAAAATTGTCAAAGCATGACACTACTTCAAAGACAAACACTCTCCTTAAAAAGATATGAATGTAAAAAAAAAAACAACAACAAAAAAACATGGATAAGCCATCCTGAAAGCGTCTCTCACTCTGCTTCAGAATACTAACTAAGTGTTTGGAATAAAGAGTCATAAATCTTAAATAAAGGGAAACATTTTTTAAATAATACAAATTCTGTATTCACAAAGCATCTGTGGCATCTGTTTCAGAGGCATGGTTATCATCTTTCCTTCCATCTGCTGTGATTAGATCACATACTGAAGTCTCAGCCGTCTGCTTCCTAACTTTGTATTGTGCAGCATCAGACATAATCTAATGTTCCCTTTTTCACTGTAATCTCTGCAGCATCAGCCTTTACGTGGCTGAACAATGGTCCGCCAAACAGCAGGGAAACATACACAGATAAGAAGAAATGATGGTGGCAGAGGTGGATAAAATCGTTAAACAATTTCAATCCATTTTTGGAGCAAAAAGACTCAGTGAAAATCTTATGTATACATTTGTGTTTTTGCTAAACAGCAATTCAGAATGCCCACACTTCTATTTAAAATCAATCTTAAGAGAAAGGAAAAAAATAAACCAAACAAAAGATATGAAATGGCTCATACAGTCCTCTGTGGCTTAAGCAGTAATATTGAATTTTCTTTGCCAACAGTTTGATTTGTCCTTCTTTAAACGCATTTGATGAGATGTGAACCCTCTTTGAATCTAAATTCCCTTGTACACAAACAACAAATATACAATAATGACCAGATAGTTTCATAAACAAACAAAGACAAATCTTGAGCCTTCAACAAGTGATGTGCAGCTAAACAAATCAGGAGCCTTTATGAGGGTGAAGCTCTGCTAAATCCCCCAAAAGATGGAGGATAAATCTCTCCATTCCGCATTAAGATCAAGCAGAAGCTCAGTTGAACCCAGATTACAACCAAAGCATCCTGTCATACATTTTTCATTCCCTGTGATGAGAAAGGATTTTCTGAGATCAAATGTAATAGTAAAGCTGCCCCCCAAAACACTTAACCAGAGAAAACCAACTTATTAGGCTACTATACGAACGTGTGAGAATATGACGCTCTAAAGGGAGTTTTTCAAATGTCTTTAAAAAGGAGCAACACTCAAATGGACTCTTTTTTAATAATTTGGTTTGGCCTGAAAGGTATCTGTTCAAAGTAATCTGGAGAAAATGCAGTAAAGCTGGTCTGATGAAAACAAGTTGATTTATGTGCAAGTGAACAATTTACCGTTTTCTTACTCATTTTTGCAGATTAGCTACACAATACTTCCTAAATCGCACTGAACACAAAATACAGCAGCTGTGGGTAAAAATATCAATTCTGAATATGTGCGGCCAGAGACTACAGAAGTGAACGAAAACATAGCGTTATCAATCATTTAATGGACCTGGAAACTAAGCCATTTAAACCCTAAACCCATGGGATCTCAAAAGTGAGCAAAAAAAATGAATGGTAATCAATCTAGTCAGTGTTCAGATTTTTTTTTTACTTCAATGGATAACTGTGGGCTTCATGGTGGCTTTCTGGAACAGTCAGGGGATCACCAAAGTCATTATGGTTAGTCATGTGGAAACCATGAATTTAACACAATATTCCCTCCCACTGTCCATGAGGTGCTGCCAATCTGAACTGAGCGCACAACAGACAGAGCGACTACAAAACAGCCAAACAGCTTATTGAGGTCAATTAAGACTAATACGTAGATAAAATTACAGACAGAAAAAGCACACGCTTTAGTGCTTGGATTTATATTTGAACACAGCCAGGAAGAACAAGCAAGCTTGCATGCACCCAGTAACTTGAGCCTCGCTTGATAGAACTGAGAAGGGCTGCATTTTCAGCGATTGCTAACAGCAGTCTGCTGTATCACTCCTGTCATCTCTCTCCATGCTGTTGAATCCCTCTAAGCAGGCCCATCTGTTTGCTGGCAAGTTTTTTTTCGTTTTTGTTTTTTGGCCTGCCTGCTTTCTACACAATTAATCCACCTTCTCCAACAGGGTGCTGTCGGTGCATAGATTTATCTACTCATTTCTTTCCCCAACCATACTGACTTTCTCCAAATGATTAGTTCTGATCGTTGCTACACCAAACATTAGAAAGCTTTTACTGCAAGTCTAAAATTACTAAAGTTCGAAAGCAACCAAATGTACAGGCATACAGATGAACATATACAAATATAATCAGACATACAGTTAACACTCCTACACTGTAGTACATAAGCACAAAGCTTTTATCTCCCTCCTGATTTGAAACCCAAGTGCAACAGTTACACCTACACTCCTTTCATCTCCAGCAGATTCACATAACTGCAAACATTCTAAGGTATAAAACTGTGCCGTACAAAATGTTTGTGATCTGCAACAGAGGAAAGAAAAGTCATGTCCAGGCCAGTTTAGAGGGAACTAAGTTGTTGTTTAATGACAGATCATTGATGTCATGGAGATCAACTCTCAAATTATAGCTTTGTAAATGAAGCCCAATTCACAAGTGAGAAGACGAGTGAGCAATCTCTGACTTGATGACATCCTACTGGGAGCTTGTTAGCTGCAGAAGAGCAAGGGTATGCCGGGAATCTCTGATAGAGGGCCAGGTCGGGGAAATCTTCAAATCCCACTTCTCAATTAGCTTCTATGGTACTAAGGGACTCTGAATGGGCCATATTCTGCATCAGCACTGCTAAGATGGCTACACAATGCAGAGACTCTGCGATCACTTTGTGCCAGTCATGGCAGCAACCCCTGAATCTTAAAGCTGAAAAGGAACCATCAGTGCAGACCTGACCCACAATCATCATCCCCTTCAAACTGAAGAAAAAAACAAGCCTTTCTGCAAAATTCTTTAGAGAGAACTGACTTTGCCTATGAAAATTCAACGGTTGCTTGGAAGGACTACACTAAATGTCAACATAGACAATAGGCTGCAACACTATTGAACTGCAACAATTACATTAGAGAGAATAAATGTCATCAGACGAAAAAGAAGTGAGCTGTTGGCTTTGTGTGCCTGAAGCATTGTACCGTTGGAGTCAGAAATCAGAAGCATAGGCTTTGGCACCGGCCCTGACACCGGCATAGACAGAGACAGCTCACAGAGAATACCAAAGAGTGAGAGGAAAGCAGGTTACTGACACACAGCTCAATATCATTGAGAGAAAATAACCAGCCGAGAAGTAAGATGGAATGGCTATGATATAAAAGGAGAATTACACCGAGCAGTGGTACATGAAGCTTTTGTTCAATTGATCAATAAGGCAGAGCAGTGCCTAGTGGAAAAGCCCAGTCCTATTAAATAACATGTCTTCTAATACAATAATACAATAGCCCACAAGTTAAAGAGGCCCATCTGGTGGGCTTCTGGACCAGACAACCTTTTCGACACTTGGCAAACACAGGATGCTGGTAGCCGTGTTGTCACACAATGGTCAACCTGGGCTAACTGTA